TGCAATTATGGTGACACGCAGACAATAACACATATGTATACCGTATTTTCCGGCATATAAGACGACTGGGCATATAAGACGACCCCGACTTTTCCTGTTAAAATATAGGGTTTGGGCTATACTCACCGTATAAGACTACCCCTCTTCCAACGCATGCCAAATAAAAATTAAAAAACATCAACTGGCTCACCACAATGTAAAATCAGCTGTGCTAGACCCAAAATGGCCCCTGCAACAAGCAGGAACCTCACACAGCCACAAAAAGCCCCAAAAAACAACTTTCACACTTTACACACACAAAATTCCACATACAGCTTTGTGAGATTTTGTGTGTTTGTGTAGTTAGAATGAAACACTACAGAAACACACTAAATCTCAGAAAGCTGCACAAATATTATTTTATTTTTATTTTTATATGAAAACTAAATTTAAAACTTCCTAAACTTTAAATGGCTAGGTCTAAAAAAGAACAACTAAAAAAAAACCCAATTAACTATTTTTTTTAAAGCTCCCAAAGGGGGAAAAAACTTACCCAATAGAACAGAGGTCTCCAACCTTGGCAACTTTAAGACTTGTAGACTTCAACTCCCAGAATTCCTCAGCCAACTTTGTTTTGCTGGCTGAGGAATTCTGGGAGTTGAAGTCCACAATTCCTGCCTGCTTGATTGCAGGCAGAGAATTGCTTGCTGATGGAATCGATTCAGGCAAGCGAAGCAAGGCAGCGAAGCAAGGCTAGCGTTGCGATTAGCAGCTAAGGTAAGCAAGCTGGAGGGGGAAAACTTTTTCCTTTTACACGGCTCTGGGCTCTGGCGATCCCAGCTGAGTTGCCTGATTAGCCATCCCAGAGCCATTTAAGGCTCATCAGAGTCTTTCGGGCTGGTCTGCCTGGTTACAGGAGAACAACACCCGGCGTATAAGACGATCCCTGACTTTTGAGAAGATTTTCATGTGTTAAAAAGTCGTCTTATACGCCGGAAAATACGGTACCTTTGTGTCCTGGTCAGTGTACACTTGAGGCCCTCATGGCAGGATGGCAGAACACAATTAATGTTGCTATTTTCTGAGCAAGATTTGTTTAACTTGTCATGCTTTAATCTTGTATTTTATATTTTCTTTTAATTGTGATGCTTCTGACACAAATAAACAAACCTTCCAGATACAGTTTTTGAAGCATATTTAGTTGTCTTGCCCAGTTACGGTTTTTATTATTATTTTTATTCTTTTAAAATGTACGCCTTCCAGTCATTCTGATTTCAAACAGCCTTTAAATCTATCATGTCTGTCCATCCATCCATCCATCCATCCATCTATCTATCTATCTACACAAACACACACACACACACACAGAGAGAGAGAGAGAGAGAGAGAGAGAGAGAGAGAGAGAGAGAGAGAGAATATATATACATATATTCCTTTTAGAATCTCCTGTTTCAACCTGCTTTCATTTGGCTATACTGTATCATATTCTTACCTTTATACTGTTATCTGAAATACTGTCAGATAATAATAGATTATTTGTTTTTAAAATTAAAATCAGCCTGAAATAAAGGAATTTTGTTGTGAAATTCAGGTAGCTAGATCTTTGAATTAATAAAGTATTCAGAAGTTGCCTTTGTTTTCATCTCTGATGACTAAGTAAAACAGATTTAGTGAGGAACCGAATAATGGTATTCGGTTAACTGATTAATTGAAGTTAGAAATAAATATACCATGTTTCTAGTAAATGTGTTAATTAGGGAAATGTAATTTCAAACAGAGTATATGTCCTCTGTTTTGAAGGATATCACAGTGATGGCCTCGTGAATTGATCAGTATTGATCAGTGGAAGATGCAGAATTGGAAATGGTTTGAAGGTGCTAACATCAGCTCTGTCTTCTATTAATCAAAATTGAAAATTGCTTCTGCCAGCCATCAGCTTGACTGATTTTAGGAACCCTTACTAGGATAATGAAACATTTCTGTTTCTAACAAAGTTGTGTAGAACTTGACTGCACAGTCTTGACAACTGGAAGCATAGTGCCAAATATAGCAGCAATCATTTCCTTCCTTTTTGTTTCAAATACTGTTTCTTCTGACCTCCTTCCCCTTTTCTTTCTTTCCATTTTCTCTCTGACATCTGAATGTATTCCATATAGTAAAGCAGTTACAGGCAATATGGAATGTGTAGGCAGTAGCATGACTATTTATCCAGTTGTCTAACCTGAATTAATGCTTTAAAGGTTCTTTTAATTATAAAAAGCAAATAAAAAGGAAGCAAGCATTCAGCGAGGCAAAAAACTGTAGACTCCATCATCATCAGAACTTTTTTAAACAAAAGCCTCTCAACCTAATGTAAACCCCAAAAGCATCCTTTAAAAAAATAAATAAGATAGTTGGTTACAGCCCAATGTTAGAGAAATCTCATTTGTAAACCCACTGCATAACACTTTAGGATAGGAACTGAACTTCGTCACTGCCTTTACATTATCATTTATATCCATGCTTGGTTTTTTTTAAGGTTTTACTATTATAGTTTCTTTAGTTACACTAATAATATAAATTACGTCATTAGCAACTTAAAATGAAATGCTCGTAGACAATGCCCAAGCCCTTATTTTGGTATACATTTATTTTTAAAACATAATGAGCAGAAAAAAGGAAAATAAATTTTAAAGCTTAATGAAATGTAAAACATTAGTTTACACAAGAGCGTTCTTGTTTCAAAAGGCAAGATAAAAAGTGCTAATTGTTTTGTCATTGTTTTAAAATTTTCATAGTCTTTAAGGTTTATTACCACGAAATAAAGCTGTATAGGCTAGTAGAAAAAATATATAGAAAAGTTACCATTAATATTGATGCAGGGGCTAAAGGAACAACTAGCATCGGTTACAGTTAGCATAATGGAGCGGTAATGAATTGTGCAGCACCTTGTTTTAGCAGAATCAGTATTGATTTTGCCTTTGCACACAAGGATGGAAAATAAGTATTAGAAGCTTGTCACTAATATAATAGCATTCTTGGATTCAACATATATGCATTTTAAAGGGCCCCCTTTAAAACTTTCACAATAGAAAAATAATGGGAGAACACAGTATTGATTTTTTTTCTTTATTAATCAGATTTGCATAGCAGACCATCTAACCAAAGGCAAGTCTGTTGTTATGTTGTGTTTTCACATGTCCATACAATCATGCAGTCACTGAGGAAGTTATTTGCGCTATTGATTCCAAAAGTCTGTAGAGATTCTCAGTCATCCAGGTCCTAAAGGTGCTTTTTCAGGAGACAACTGGACTTTCTTGTTTTTCTTTTGAAGACGTTTCGCTCTGACCGGATAGTGGGGAATGGAAGGATTTATATCCCTTGCAGACATCTGATAATTTGCATCCTTTTAGAGGATCGTTGAAGCACTTGGAAGTTTATTGATTTCAAACCCCTTTTCAGTACTGAAATCTCAACAAAAACATCTTGAATGGATGGCTGTCTAGCATCCTCATCCAGTCTATAGGGGAAGTTATCACTACCTTCCCAATTGGTTCCTCTATAGTTCCTCCTAAACTGATCTACTATTAAATATTTTTAAAGAGTAAACATACCTTGTTCCCTCAGACTCACCCTATAAAATCTCCTGGTTATCCTTATTTTCTTTCTCTACACCTGTTCTTGTTTTGCTGAATCTGTGTTAAAATGCATTAACAAGAAAACATTTGTCAAATATTGCATGAAATTCTGATTAATTCTAATTCTAAAAAAATTCTAAATTCTAAAAAATATGCCTGTATTCAAGGCAGGATTTCAGTATAGTTGGGGACCTAAATGATAATTCAAAGTGATGGGGGTGAAAGCAAAGAAGTCCAACCTACAGTGCTTGCCACAGTATCTTTCTTTCTCTTCCTTTTAAAAAAATGTGTATAGTTGGGAGGAGGTGGTTAAATATAAGTTACAGGTTCGCAGTGTTTTATTTTTACTTTTAAAATGCAGTGTTATTTTCTGAAACAAAATAGTACCTATTCTGAAGTATGGATATGGATAACTGAAGAGGTGTAATGATTGTGGTGATGTTTAAAAGACCATCAAGTGCTGGATATGAAACTGGCAGTTAACAGTGGCCAAATTGAAGAATCATTCATTATGGGAAGGTAATGGCTATGAATGCATTGCAGGTCCAGCTTTCAAGAAAGCAAAATTATTTTCTGCTATTGCATAAATTCCACTGACCATAAAGAAGTAGTCAGTTAAATACAAGAGGTTTTTTGTAAGTGAAATGTCTGCATTTCTACCTATGAGTCAAATGGATACTTGATAAAACTAATTGTTCCCTTGGAAGGTCAGACTTTTGGTTTCAGTTCTGAGAAATATGTTTTGAACCAAGTCATTTCAAGCTTGAAGTTGAAAAATGGAAATGTATGATTAAAACTACCTTTCTGTACAGTAGATCTTCGGTCAATATTAACTACCATCCACTGACTGGTTTCCTCACCTGAAACAAACTATTCTGAGTTCCGTATCTATTCCTTTCTAGGTAGAACAAAATGTTTTTGATAGATTATGAAGTCTGTGAAAGAGAACGAGTCTTGGTTATTGTATTATTTCATTTGCATATATTCATTTTCAGAGTAATTGCTCAGTTTATTCTGTTTGGTACCCAGTATTTGTTGACACTTGAAACATTGTATGTGCTGATTTTTCTTTAATGGATTCAGGAAAAATATTTTCTTTCTTTTAATGGATAGATTAATTTACTCGGGGCCTGCACATAGCTATCAAAACTGAAATTTAATTTGCAAAAAATTATGAATGTAGAAGGCATATGAATATATTAGACGTTAATCTATACTATTAACAGAATTATGCTAAAATGCTGCAAATGTATCTGTTTTGTGTGATGGCATTGTTTTCAACTGAAAATGTAACCCAAGGAAAAGAGTAGAATATTATATGTTAACAGAAGGGTAGAAGGAAAGGATAATAAAGTTAAGAATACCTAGAAAAAAACTAGACAAATCTTTCTCTTCTTTCAACAGTGCGACTTCATGAAAGCATATCAGAAGAAGGATTTCATTACTTAGTCTTTGATTTGTAAGTGGACTTGCCTATTTGCAGTTTGTCCTATAACATGAAATATATAAAATGAAAGACTATGTCATATGATCCAGATGGAAAAGAAATGGAACAGAGATTGCCAGAGAACCCTATAAACAAATCTATAAACACACACACACACACACACACACACACACACACACACACACACACACGTTGTTGTACATGGTATGCAAACCACCAATAGCCATTTCCTATCTATAAGGGAAGCCAGTACATTCTAGGTCAGTGATGGCTAACCTTTTTGCCATCAAGTACCAGGAAGGGGGGAGGCAGGAGAAGTTAGCGCACACGCATACCCACACCCATAATTCTATGCACCCTGCCCTGCTTTCTAGGAATTTCTGGATGCTGAGGAAAGCAAAAAAATCACTTCCTGTCCCACCGGGAGTTGGGAAATGGGCCATTTCAGGCCTCCGGAGGGCCGCTGAGGGAGTGGGGAAGGCTGTTTTCACCCTCCCCAGATGCATAGACAGGATCTGGAGCCAGGTGAGAATGAAAAACAGGCCTTCCCCACCCCCCCATCCCCAGGCCCTCTGGAGACAGGAAACAGCCTGTTTTCCTACTTCTGGTGGGCCCAGAAAGCCCGAAAATCAGCTGGCCAGCGCCCGCATGTGCACTAGAGCTGAGCTAGCGTGCCCACTGATATGGCTACACGTGCCACGCGTGCCACAGGTTCGCCATCACGGTTCTAGGTAACTGGTTCACGATGTCTGGACAGTATTTCTGTGAAATCCATGTTTATTACTACTGATAACTATTTATGGAATAGACAAATTTGATGGACTTTTCAGGGCGATTGTCTAAGAATGAGGAAAGAATTATGAAGAACAACACAAATTATATAAGTATAGCATATAATATTGACACTGGCAATAGTTACTCTAATAAGGAATAAAAGGCAACTACTGTAAGCTGTGCATTCTGATCAGTTCCTGGTTTCTAGCTGGAGCTAAACCAGAATTTCCAGGTTAACATAGCCAGGATGTTTTCTGCAGCAACATTTAAGCTATTCTGAAGAGAAATTGGGAGAAGGCATACAGCCACCACAATATTATTACATCAAAAATAGTCTGTTGCATGGTTTAAATTATTTATGTTGCTTTGTGTGAATTTCTCATTTTATCAAGACAGATCAAAATATTTCAAATAAAGAAAATTCCATTACAATTTAAGCAGAAATGTTGAAAGAAAATATAATAATATAAACTGAAAAATAATTCAAAATCTGTGAGATCTGCCAGAAAAAAAATGGGTACATATTTTATATTGAAAATCTGTTTATAGTAATTTTTCAGGCTATCTGATTTACTACAAATATAATAAAGACAAAGAGGTCACTAAACAAAAAATATATAATTGCTGTTAAGTAATTGTAATAAATAAATATGGATATCTTTCTCTCTCTCTTATTGCCTTCTACAAGAGCATCAAGAGTGGCTCTGCCAACTGGCATGGGCATCTAAGAAGGATATGCCACTTTAAGAGTGGTTGGTAGCTTAAAGGCACTCTCTCTACCTCTTTAACTTTTTAACCTTTTAATTTTAAACATTTTTAGTACTGTTTTTAATTCTGATTTTAATTATGCTTTTACATTAATGTGTGATTTTTATTTCTAAACCACCTAGAGTTATTCAAGTGAAATGGGCAGTGTAGAAATTTGATCATAAATAAGAATAAGATGTCCTTTCACCCAGTTTTATCTAGCATTAAAAAATATTTTTGTAAAGAACTTGTTTTTTGTTTATGAAGCACATTTCTTTTGCTGAAACTCTATTGAGTGAAATATAAAGGTCATTAAGTGGGCTTATTGTTGCCTGAAAATTTATCATTTCAGACCTCACAGAACAATGTGTTTTGAACTAAATTTTAATAAAATGAAACAAAAAATGTCATTTTATATAAATTGTTTTCTCTTGATTCTTTATTGGATGCTTTATTTGAACTTTGTTTTAAAAATTGGCTAAGTATTGAAAACCTTCAGTATTTAAATAGTAATGATAAATGATAAATAATGAAAGGTTTCAGATAAAAATTCAGTGCAAAATTATTTTTTTAAAAATGACTTGAGCATATGAGCAAAATTGTATTGAAGCCATTGAAACACGATCCTGCTTCCTGTCTTGGAAAACCATCAAGTTAAGAGTTGATGAAGAAGAATAGCCAAATAGAACTGGTGGCAATTTGAAATAATATAAATCCTTGGAATATAATCCTTTACCATATCTGCTATATCACTGGACAGTGCAATAAAATGTGCAATTTATGCATTGTATTGAGGTCCCCCAATGAAATATACCTATTCATTCCTGGTTTTTCATAGCAAATACAGTACAATAAATCATCCTTTTGAGGACTATATGAGGAAGGCCAGAACAGTGAATGACTTCCACTGTTTGGAAGTCAGTAATATATTTTTTTTAAAGTAATGTGTAAGTCCAGCAAACATTTATCTACTAAGGATATACCTGTTATCTGAATCTAGAACTGAGTCTGGCTGCAGATCCTTCATTATATGAAGCAGCCACGTGGTATTTGCAAAAAAGTTGGGTAAAAATTAAATTTCTAACTTAGTTTTTTTTATCTGTAAAAATGTTTCATATCATTACTAGAGTTACCGGAGGCGAATTATTTGAAGACATTGTTGCAAGAGAATATTACAGTGAAGCAGATGCAAGGTCAGTGCTGATTTTTTTTAAAAAAGAAAAATCATCTGGGTCGTCTCTAAATTTGATAAACAAAATAAAAATAAATTTAATGTGATACCCTGAGGCAAATTACAGTAACCGCTCTTAAATATCAATCTTGGAAAACAGTACTCATTTAGCATACTGGGATTCTACCTGTTTGCGTTTTTCGGAAAGTCTATTTATAGATATTTCTTTCCACAATGCAATTCCCATTGGAATATTACCATATGAGAATTTGGTTCTACAAATAAATGTGCCATTATTATTCTGTGAGTTGTATCAATACTTCTTTCCTTTTACATTACATTTCCTCTGTCATTAGATTAGAGCAGGGGTGTCAATCTCAATTTCATTGAGGGCCACATCAGGGTTGTGTTTGACCTTGGGGGGCTGGGGGCCATGGTCAGGGGGGCATGGCTAGCTCGATGTTACTCATCGAGGCTCTGTTTTTGGCCACGATGGCCTTCCGGGGCTCCGTTTCTGCTGCAACAGCCTCCTGCAGCCCTCTGCCAGTGAAAATGGAGCTCAGGAAGGCTGCACGCAGCCCTCCCAAGCTCCCTTTTCACTGGCAGAAGCATTGCAGGCTGGTCCTTTGCTGTTTCCAGGGCAGGCCCGCAGGCCAGATCCAAGCACTCACGGGCTGGATCTTGAGTTTGACACCCTGGACTAGAGCAACATGATGGTAGTAAAGTATGGTTTTTCTTCCTTCAAACCCCACCCCAAATATCCTACCTTACAATATGATTTTGTAGAAGTTCAACTATTCCTAAGGGGAAAAAGGAAAAATAGATATGGCAGTGATTGATTTGCTCATGTAGGAAGTTTCATACTAGTTTTTGTTGGAATTTTAGAAAGGACAGGGGTGATAGCTGTGGTCTAAATAACTTGTGCCTACTAAAATCAAGGAACTCAGAAAATTCTAAAAGCTTCCAAAACTAATAAGTTCCAATATCCATAACTAGTCTATATCTGGAACCCATATCTCAGCTTCCCCCCCCCCCTCCTTTTCCATTGCAGGCAGTAAAATCAGTTCACGTGGCTTTATTCTTGGCCTGCCACTGTAATGTTCAGTTTTTTTATTGACACCAATAAAAAGTTCACCTGTTGCTGTAAAAGCAAGGAATTACTCTTTACTTTCTTTAGTCCTGAACTCAAAGCATCTAAAGGCCTGTCTTTATAATTTGTTGTCTATTTTTTTCCATACTTAGCAAGTGTGTGATAAATATAACGGCTGAGGTAGAGAGGAAGATGAATAAATGAATGGGTTGAAGGGTGTGTCGTCTCGAAGACCAGAAAAGTAACTGTTCATGAGCAGAGTTATCTCTGCTGGAGGAAAGGAGAAGTTATTTTTGCTGACTCTACTTTCCCTAAAAACATCACGCAGCATCTTATCAACTTCTGTGAAAGAGCACTGCAGGGATCTTTAGCAGAAGAGGAAGAAAAAAAGAGATCTCTTTTCTTCTTCCAATGCGGTTATCTACTGAATTTACACCCTAGAATCCTACTAAATTAATTCAAGAGACTTCCTATTGTTTTTTCCCCCCAAAGATGACTGCTAGTAAGTGACTGCTTCAAATGCACCTTTCAATTACACAAACTGATTCCTCCCCACACACATTTCCTGTTCTATTCAACTGTTTGATTATCAAGAAGCTTTGTTCTTTTTTATTTGCTCTGTTTTATTGTTTTCCTTACCCTCCTATATAAAAATGTTTATATATGTTGGAGTTTAACATGAAAGAATAATGCACATAAAAATAGCCATTATGCCATTTATTAATATGTGGAAAGCATGCATATATAATAGAATCATTTGCATTGTATTTGTTTGTTGTTCAATTAATATGTACTCTCTTGAACACACTAGACAGTGGAATATAACCTATATTGGTTAGCAAACATTCATGCTCTTCAGGTTGTATAATACCCACAACTTCATATTTTTCAGCATCATTCCAAACACACTGACTAGTCAGTGAGCAAAATTCTTTGTTGGTCACTATGCATAGTCTTGACCATCATGACCAGGGGTTATACAAGTTCTCTCTGCTATTTATGTTGATGTTTACAATTGCACCGCTAGCTACAATAAGCCTGTATTATTTACTATAGATCTATCACCTAGTATGTGTTTTAACTTTTCCTCTCATATTTCAGCAAATATTCCACCAAAAGTTTATACCTATTATATGTTATATGTTAAATGTCATTTCTTTTGAGTCTCTTGACAATTTTTTCCAAAGAGAAAGAGAGAAATGCTGTGTTTCAGTTCTGTGTGTAATTAAAACCTGTCTGAAAATGTGATTTGATTATTTTAAGTTATTACTATTTTAAGTTACTTTCATTATTATTATTATTATTAAATTATTTTCTGTATTTAACGTGATTATGTGCCTTAAAATGTTTTCCCCCCTCCCATTCTGCCCTTGTATCTTTGCAGTCATTGTATACAGCAGATTCTAGAAAGTGTTAATCATTGTCACCTAAATGGCATAGTGCACAGAGACCTCAAGGTCAGTATCTGGTGCCCCGTAGGTTTGCTAAGACTTTTGTTTTATTATTATTTTATTTGTTTTTGTCTCTCTTCTGTCTCTCTTCTTCTTTTTTTTTCTTCCCGGCTTGAGTTTTAAGGGTGGGTCGGCTGAGAAGTTCCCTTGGCTATCCTCCTCACCCTTAATATGAGAAATGGATAATGCATGAGGCTGCTTTCCACTCTGCAAGTGTCACAGGTTTAATGTCCATCACAGAAAAAGGTAGAATAGGTACTGCTAATACAGGGACCTTCCAAGAGATGTGGTAGGTGCCATAGGTATCAGGAACCGTTTTGGAAGGAGATTACCTCAGTCCTGTAGTCTGTATCTGTGACTGACCTTTGTCTGTGATAGATGTTAGCCTGCAGGTTTAAAACACCACTTCTGTTCAGAGACAATGGGTTATTGTAGCAGAATGACTGGCTATGCATTGCTCTGCTAGAGTAGGATAGATCCCTCAGGCAACAGGGATCAAATAATTGCTTGGCTAAATGAAACCATGAAGGGTGAATAATTCATCTCAAATACAAAACTACTTAAAAGTAAATTTACTTTCAGGGTTGCTGGTGGAAAAAAGGCCTCCAAGGCGAGTAAAGGAGGGAAGGAACAAACTGCACCAGATATTTAACCCAAGTTTGTAAAATGGGTTTATTAGTGCAGTGATATGCTCTCATTGTCCACTTCTCAATATGTTATGCATATGCCCAACTATACTACCTTCCATCCTTTTGTTGAGCCGGAACATATCCCTACCCCCTCCTATTCATGCCCTACATAAAAGTGGGCTACCATGCGTGTATTTGCAGTGCACATTCACAATGTCTGAGGAAGTAGCTGTTCTAGCGGAGGAATGCAGATCCATACATTTTTAAGAGGTTGTGAATCACGATCTCAGCCTGTTCATCATTTTGCACTTTAACCCAGTCTCGCTGAGGTTATACAGACAGTGAGTGTACAGCTTCGAACTAATATACGCCCCCTGGTGTTTGCATGCAGTCATTGCATTCAGCAGATCCTGGAGGCTGTGCTACACTGCCATCAGATGGGCGTAGTCCATCGGGACTTGAAGGTGAGTAATGCTGTGGGGGAAGATAATCATATTACACAGATTCAAAGCACTTCATAGCTGCATTTTTGCATCTAGAAGCAAAGAGATGTCCACTGATTATTTTGCAAGTTGTTCGTGGTTGCAAAACAGGCAACTATTTTTTTCCTTGCAGATTTAGGATTCTTGTGATTCTTCTTTGCTTACTTTATTCCCACGTCTCTCTATACATGTTAATTCAGCTATGCAAATATAGCTAAGGTTAATCAGTTTTCCCACATGATTAGTTTCGTCAGGTTTTTTCCTAATGTGACATTGTTGACCAGCAGTTCCAACTGATTTTTAATTCTTATTTCTACAATTAAAAAAAAAAAATCTTTAGACCTAAAACATACAGTGAGCAAATGTAGAACAGTAGTAACGAATATGAGCAAGCAGTTTGTCATTCTTTTGGAACTTAATTCAGGACTTACAGTACATGCACATACACATAAAGGCACACATTCTTTTCATAAATTTAGAACATGTTGTCTGTTGTGTTTTGCAGGTTGTAACAGTAATATCCAAAAAAACCAACCTGAAAACTAAGCAGAATCTCATAGAACATTTTAAAGCAATTTCTTTCAGTTGCTCCCTGTTTAGATGATATCTGTAATAAACTATAGAGCTGCCTGTTATTCTCGCAATACATTTTCAGAAGGAAATTCAGACCCAATGGGGCTTCTGGAATTTACTAATAGATTTCATACTGTGAACATTCATCATAGCAAATCTGCATGGTTACTTTAGATAACAGTAGTTCCTCCTGACAGTTATTGGGAATGGTTGATTCCCAAACTAGATCTGGTGTGCATTTGATGTTATTCTGCAGTCATTTATGCTCTGTATGTAACAGTACGTTGATGTATTTATGGCAACATCTTCATTGGCTAACCTTGACAAATATACAACACTACCTTATAGTGGGTAAGGATAATTGGGGAAGATGTGTGTGCATCTATTCCTGTACATTATTTCTGATAATAGTCCTAAATATGATTTGGACTAGAACCCATATTATGCATGAAATGACTGCCTAGATAGCAAGGTATACACAAAAAGTACAAAAGAGTACAGTAAGAAAAAATGAAGACATGTACATGTGTTGGTGTATACAATTGTATATTTTTTTCTGTGATCAGAAAACATTTATTTATTTAGCTACCTAATGCTTGCGTCCCCAGGTGTCTATTTAATGCATACACAAGAGCCTACATTTACAATTCATTTGTTTAAAATAACCGAAGATTCTTTTTAGAAATTGATACAAAACAAAGAATTAATTAAAATTATCTACCATTAGAATAACAGACTTGATAGATTATTTTAAAAGAAAAAATGATTAAAAGAACAGGAGCCCTTATTTTTAAAAACATTCATCTTGCCACCAATACAACAATATATGTAATAAAGTATTTATGTCAACGTTCTGGGTTTCTGGGTTCTGTTTTGTTTTTAAATCAAACCCCTTCCTCAGATATAAAACTTGAACATTTTATCTTGGATAAAGGATTCTGTAAATCATATACTGTTTAAACACCTATGTACATTTTATAATCATTTTGCAAGGATGATATAAAAGATGGCCCCAGAATGTTTCAAGAGACGAATGACTTCATTCAGTCTTGAATTAGTGCTGAAACCCATTAAAACAAATCTGACTCACATTTATAGAATACAATTAACTGGTCTTAATTTCAATACAGGTGTAGTTTTCTTTAAAGGTTAACTTTGGATTCACTTTGTGACTATTTCCATTTCTTTCACTATCATTGCTTGATTTGGCCAAATAGCTTTTTCCTGAAGAATCATAGAGAATATTACCCCTTGTGATTTGTCATTTTTTTAAAAAAAAATATCTTGTTTTATTTTGCCACATATGTGGATTTTAAAATATAGATTTTAAATTAAATTATTAGATTCGTAATATTCTTTTAGGATACCCTTTATACATACAGTTTAGATATTAACATAAAATATGTTGTATGCCTCTTTTATCAATATTATAACAAAGAAGCTCGAAAATTATTGTTTTCTGTCTACTATATGCACATCTGCAGCTAAAGTGCAACTTTGTGATCCACACACTGACTTGTTCCTTTCTTCGATGGAGTCTCAAGATTCCATCTCTGTTTAAATCCCCCATATTTTTGTCCAATTGTGTACATTTGCCCCAACCTATTCAGAACTCATGCATGACAAATCTATTGACATTTCCATCGTCCTGAACTGGCTGGTGCATGTTTTTTTAAGGGCATAGTCAGTTGCCCAGAAGTCAGAGGAGCTTGCTATTGAATGTATGGCTGCTCTGTAATTATTAGACCATATTTCTTTCCTTACGACTGTGATATTTGCTTCACATATTTATGTCCAAAGTTACTTGTTTACAATATTCAGTGGTTCTCATGGAAGATTAGGTTGTTATCCTAGTTTTGTGTTGTGCAAGATCTAGGTATTTGTCTATCAAAGTGTATAAATGTAATACAATGTAATCTGACTTTATGAGAATTTTTGAAATTCCATTCCCAGCCATCCAGAAAGTGCAAGTTTAGACAGAAGCTGGTTTAAGATCACAGCTCCTGCATAGGAATTGGAAAGTTATAGATTATAAGATTATCAACGCTTTCTAAGAACTATGCTCTACTAACTTTTTTCTGCTTTAAAAAATCTTGCAGATTAATTAGCCCGGCAAACTGCTTGTAAAATTGCCCTTCTTATAATTCTTGTTATATATATATTTTTTAAAAAAAGTTTAGATTCCAAAATCGAAAAATACAGGTAGTCTTCAACTTACAAGAGTGCATTTAGTGACTGTTCAAAGTTACAGTGGCAATGAAAAAAGTGACTCATGACCGTTTTTTCCAGTTACGACCATTTTAGCATTCCCGTGATCATGTGATCAACATTCAGATGCTTGGCAACTGACTCATACTGTGTCCCAAGGTCATGTGATTACCTTCTGCAATCTTTTGACAAGCAAAATCAATGAGGAAGCCAGATTCACTTAACAACCATATTACTAATCAACTGCGGTGATTCACTTAACAACTGTGGCAAGAAAGGTCGTGAAATGGGATAAAAGTCACTTAACAAACATCTCACTTAACAACAGACATTTTGGTTGTAAGTCGAGGACTACCTGTATCATTGAGTATGTTTAGATATAATGGAATACTGACATTTTAAGATGATCTTAACTATATTACAAGCTAAGACTACTGTAACTGAATTGCAAGAAAGTTTTATTTGTATCTTTCCTGATATCTAGCAGTCATATAAATTTTGACAAGACAGATATAGGTAACATTTCTAGGTAATGTATCCTTTTTGTAATAAATCATGTTTATGATGTATCTACTTTTAGCAAGAAAAAATATTTGAGCCTTGGTCTCATATCAGTAATTGGTTATATGTGACCATAACTTTTCCTACAAGAAGAATGCGTTGAAGAAGAGATTCTCTGGGCCAAGTAGTATTCTCCAGAAATGTTAAGGGGCTTGGAATTCTGGGAAATTCAGGCCAATTAATCTGATGGGCATCAGGTTGGATAAAGTTAATAATCTTATAATTTGGGAAAACTTTGTATTCCCAAATAAAATTTGTAGATACTTGATAGACCAGTCTTGGACGGTTCTGAAAGGATTTCTAAAGAGAAAAGAGGGTTTTAAAATATAACAGAAGAAAACAGCCCTACTCTAAAAATTTGTGGATTTGGGATCCATTTAAAATTTTTCAGAATCAAACTTTTATTACTTATATTTGAAAATAGGAAAAGTGTATTTTCTCTGTCTCCAACTTAATCTATATAAAGTAAGTACTACTGAATTAAAAATACTGATTTATCTTCTACTTCCCTTTTCCTTTTTTCTCTCTCTCTTCTGTCCTTCATAAAGCCTGAGAACTTGCTTCTAGCAAGCAAGTCAAAAGGAGCAGCTGTAAAACTGGCAGATTTTGGATTAGCAATTGAAGTGCAGGGTGAACAACAGGCCTGGTTTGGTAAGAAAAAAAATTCAGTTTGTATTATACCTTCCTATTTAATCCAACATCGCTACACCATATTAAATTAATATGCCTGCAAGTGGGACATTAAAGAAATCTACTACAGATTTGCAAAAATTGTCTGAATTATCATTGAATCAAGCTGTTCTAGCAGCCATTTTCTCCAATCAGAAATCTACATTGACCCTCATCCCCAAATTAGAAGCATAAAATGCACGAAATAATTAAAGAAAATATGAAAAGTTGTATGTAAAAAGCAAAAGTGACTGTTAGCTGTATCTATTAGCTTGCTTTGGAGAAATATTTTTTTTGAAAAATCTACATAAAAAGATTTTGAGAAAGTTCTCACAAAATCTGTATTTGTAGATATTAAAAATTCTACACAATAAACAAAAATTCAGATGATGGAGGTGTTAAAAGGGATGCGATTATGCCAGAGGTTTTCTTTACAATTGAAAAAAAGGAAATAAATCGGTTGTCCCTTTCAGTTTTCCAAATTATTCAGAGCCCAGATAAATCCCTAGAGCAGTGCCTCCCAATGTACTGGCTGGGGAATTCTGGGAGTTGAAGTCCACACTTCTTAAAGCAGCCAAGGTTGAGAAACATTGCCGTAGAGCAGGGGTCTCCAACCTTGGCCACTTTAAGACTTGTGGACTTCAGTTCCCAGAATTCCTCAGCCAGCTTTGCTTTCTGGGAGTTGAAGTCCACAAGTCTTAAAGTGGCCAAGGTTGGAGACCCCTGCTGTAGAGCATAAAACAAGCTGAAAGGGTAAAAAAGAAAGGGTAAGAAAAAAAAAAACATTGGTGTAAATTCAGAAGTAATTCACAAATGTTTCTAACAGGTAGCCCTCTACTTATGGCCACAATTGGGGCCAGAATTTCCATTGTTAAATAAGGTGGCTTTTAAGTGAGCTGCACTTGATTTTATGACCGTTTTTTGCCATGGGTGTTGAGCAAATCACTGCAGTTATTAAGTGAGTCGGGCTTCCCCCAGGACGCTGTAATTATAAATAACATGCTGGTTGTCAAGCTCCCAAATTTTGATCATGTGACTGTGGAGATGCTGCAACTCTCATAAGCATGAGGATAGGCCGTGTCTTTTTTCAGTGCTGTCGTAACTTTGAACAACCGCTAAACGCATGGTTGTAAGTTGAGGACTACCTGTATTACAAAAAAGATAGCAATAGCACTTAGACTTACATACCACTTCACAGTGCTTTACAGCCCTCTCTGAGCGATTTACAGAGTCAGCATATTGCCCCCAACTATCTGGATCTTCATTTTATCGACCTCGGAAGGATGGAAGGCTGAGTCAACCTTGATGATAGATAGATAGATAGATAGATAGATAGATAGATAGATAGATAGATAGATAGGAAGGATAGGATAGGATAGGATAGGATAGGATAGGATAGGATAGGATAGGATAGGATAGGATAGGATAAGATAAGATAAGATAAGATAAGATAAGATAAGATGATAAGATAAGCAAAGTAATGTAGAATAGATGGTGACAATGTAGCCTAAACCCAGATACTTAAAAAAGGATTTTAGTATTTGTTTTCTTCTGAATAGCTTACTGTTCACTAAGTAGACTTACTTTCAGGCTTTGCTGGTACACCAGGATACCTTTCCCCTGAGGTGCTACGAAAAGATCCCTATGGGAAGCCGGTAGACATGTGGGCCTGTGGTAAGCCAATTATGATTTGGGGGGGAGGGGAGGTTTGTGAGTGCATGCTTATCTCTAAAGCAAACAACTGTGGGGGTTTTTTTGTTTTTTTTAAATTTGATTTATATGCCGCCCTTCTCCGGAGACTCAGGGCGGCTTACAATGTGCTCAGCAATAGCCTTCATACTTTTGTATATTTATACAAAGTCAGCTTATTGCCCCCACAACTGGGTCCTTAATTTACCTACCTTAGAAAGGATGGAAGGCTGAGTCAACCTTGAGCCTTGGCGAGATTCGAACCTGCAGTAATTGCAGGCAGCTGGTCTTAATAACCAGCTTAATAATAGGGTGCCTTAGACCACTGTACTACCAAGGCCCTTGTCCTTTTGTGTGTGTGTGTGTGTATCATACTTAATGTCAGCGTCGGTTTAATATAAGGTTCCAAGTAACATACTCGTAGCAAACAAAACTCTGGAGCAAGTATATTCCTCAAAGAATAAGTTTATTGTATAGGTCATATTGGCACAGGCGGGTGAAAACCGGCTCTTAGTATTCCCACAGTTTTTACCTAGTAAAAGTTTTTCACTTCCTCAAAACAATCAGTCACATGATTCAATCAGGATTTTGTCCAGTTGCTAGGTGACTCCAGTCCCCTCCTTCTGAGCACCTGTGCTGTCTCTTGGTTCCCAAGAGAAAAGTATTTTGTTTTGGCTACAACACCCCAACTATCTTTATTCCCCCCTGCCTATCCCTCTGCTTCAGTGTGTCAGCACTGAAGTCTCAAAATGGCCTCAGTCAGGTCAGCTTCAGGGTTGACACCTAAGCTATATAGGAAGAAACTTGGAAGATGTTTTTCAAATCATTCAAAGATAGTTTGCCTTAAGTTCACTATAAATGAGGGATGGAAATTCCTCTTACTGTTTCTATCATTCTGTGTTTATCCCTGACTGGTATTAAAGAACTACCAGTTTGGTGTAGTGGTGAAGAGACTGTGAATTCTAGTCCCACCTTAGCCAGCAGGTGACTGTGGCCTAGTCACTTTTTCTCAGCCATAAGAGGAAAGGAAGAAAATCTTATGGAACTTCTGTGCACCTGTATTTGGGTTCCTATGTTCAGGAAAAGAAGGTTGAGTGAAAGACAATTCTCCTGATCTTTCCTCATCATGCTGCTCTAATTAAAATTAGTGTCCATTGCCTTTCACGCTAGGAGATCTTATTATGGATTTCCCATGTATCATGTCCTCCAGTTATTCTTTATGTGTGCTACAGTGGTGGGTTGCTACCAATTCCAGAGGTGGGTTTCAGCAGGTTCTGACCAGTTCTGGAGAACTGGTAGCAGAAATTTTGAGTAGTTCAGAGAACCGGTAGTAAAAATTCTGACTGGCCCCGCCCCCATCTATTCTCTGCTTCCCAAGTCCCAGCTGATTGGGAGGAAATGGGGATTTTATTTATTTATTTATTTATTTATTTATTTATTTATTTATTTATTTATTTATTTATTTATTTTTTAAATTTGTATACCGCCCTTCTCCCGAAGGACTCAGGGCGGTGAACAGCCAAAATTTAAAACACATACAATATAAAAATTAAAAAGAATTAAAACAGAATTAAATCAATTTGGCTTCCCTAAATTTTAAAACCCTTTCCCCATAAAATAACCCATTAAAATTTTAAGCCAGCCCGGCTTGCTGAAATAAGAAGGTCTTTAACGCTCGGCGGAAAGTACGGAGGTCCGGGATCAGTCGTATTCCTGGGAGTAGCTCGTTCCAGAGGGCGGGTGCCCCCACAGAGAAGGCTCTCCTCCTGGGGGTCGTCAGTTGACATTGCTTGACCGACGGCACCCTGAGGAGACCCTCTCTGTGGGAGCGAATTGGCCGGTGGGAGGTTATCGGTGGCAGAAGGTGGTCTCGTAAGTACCCGGGCCCTAAGCCATGGAGTGCTTTAAAGATGAGAACCAATACCTTGAAGCGCACACGGAAGACCACCGGGAGCCAGTGCAGCTCGCGCAGGAGAGGTTTTACATGGGAGCGCCATGTCGCCTCCATAATTACCCGCGCGGCCACATTCTGGACCAGTAACCTTCCCCTGGAGTGGAGTGGGAATGGAGATTTTACAGTATCCTTCCCCTGACGTGGGGTGGGAATGGAGATTTTACAGTATCCTTCCCTGCCATGCCCACCAAGCCATGTCATGCCATGCCATGCCATGCCTACCAAGCCACACCCACAGAACCGATAGTAAAAATTTTTGAAACCTACCACTGACCAGTTCATCCCGGATCGGGCGAACCAGTAGTGGTGGCGTTGGGAGGCTCCGCCCACCCACCCAGATTCTTCTGCGCATGTGCAGAAGCATTGTGCGCACAAGTGCGCATGTGCCGATGACCAAACAAGTAAAGACGGATTTTGAAACCTGCCCCTGATGTGCTACTTTTACTCATTAGTTTAATACCATTTGCAGGTGTTATACTCTATATCCTCTTGGTGGGATACCCTCCCTTTTGGGATGAAGATCAACATAGACTTTATCAACAGATCAAAGCTGGTGCTTATGATGTAAGTAATGCCTCAATTTCTCTCTGTTTTTATCATTGATCATTTATTATCTCTAAAAACATAACACAATTAAGTATTTGATATTCTGGCATTCTCTTGCTTCCCTCCCAACCTCTGAAATTATTCTGATGATTTTGTTTCCTTTGTAGAATTTTCTCTTCTATGTAGTGTGATACACTACTAGTGAACACTCAAATAATTGTGCAGACTTGAGTATTTACAGTATGTGCTTTCAAGAGACACAATAAGTGTAAATTGTTGCATGGTGGCTGGCATGTAATTCTATGTAGTAATGTAGTTTGATTTATTTTAAAAGGAAAGTAAAAAATCCAGTTTAGAAACAATAAAGAATTTCTCACATAAGTAACTACCATAGTTATATTTTTTTAATCAGGTATAGAGATAACCAGTTTGCTGTGGTGGTTAAGGCACCAGGTTAAACCAGGAAACTGTGAGTTCTAGTCCCTTTGTAGTTAAAAAGATAGCCGGCTGACCTTAGATCAGTCTCTTTCGATCATAAGAAGAAGACAGTAGCAAGTCACTTCTTCAGAATTCTGGAGGAACTTGTCCAGGTAGTGTCCAGGAGTCAACACTGATTCAAAGGGGCACACACCCACACCCACACCCACCACAAAAAGAGCAGAATAGAATAACAGTTGGAAGGGACCTTGGAGGTCTTCTAGTCCAACCCCTTGCTTAGGCAGGAAACTTTATACCACTTCAGACAAATGGTTATCCAACATCTTCTTAAAAATTTGCAGCATTGGAGCATTCACAGCTTCTGGAGGCAAGTTGTTCCACTGATTAAAGCAGTAGCCACATTAAAAAAAGGGGGATTAGACAAATTCATTAATCTTTCAGGGAGCAAGCCTTAAATATAAATTACTAAAGAGTGAGCATTGAGGTCTATCACCCTCCTGTTACCACTTGTGGGTTGCCTGAATGGGGATTGTTTACCACTTTGTAACACAACATGCTGAAGTACATAGGCCCCTGGTTAAGCTAACTGATCTCTTTCATCTTAAAATCAACCTTGCAATCTTCCTCTAGTTATCCATCTATTTCCTGTTTTCCCTTTGAGATATATGTTTGAGTAAAAGCAGGACAGCCATCTGTTCATGAAGCATCTACTTGGAGTCCTTGCTTGAGCACAAAGTTGAATTAGGTGGTCTAAATTGACCCTTCCAGCTTGAGGATTCTATTTTTCTGACCCACAGTCCTCCAGTTCTGTTAGACTGCAGCTTTCATCATGCCAACCAGTTAATGGGAGGTGTAGTCCAAAAGAGCTGGAAGGTACCTAGTGATGCTGATGTAAATAAATATTCTCAGTATAGTTTTTCTGCCACCGTATTGTGCCCATCCCTGACACATCACTCATTGACCACAGTTCGTTACAGATTCCCACACCTATAATCTGTCTTGATTTTGTTACAAGTTTGTGTATGAAGATCTGGGGCAGAAAAATGTGAAATGAGCCATGAAGTACTGGTGCCGCCCACAATGTTTCCATCCTATTTTCTCACCGCTCATAATTTTCAAGTCCGTCAATTGCAGCCACAAGAATCATTTTTTAAAAAAATGATGGGTTTTCCTCCCGTCCTGCCTTTTAAACATTGATGCCTGTTGGAATGTATTTCCAAATAGACAAATGTCTCTTCTGCATGATTATCCTTCTTGCTATCTCAGAAGAGTCCATCATACAAATTGCTTTTCATAAAATAATAGCCTGCTTTCAGAAGGACAGCCAGTCTTACTGGCTTCAGCCATGTTGAAATGTACGTGAAGGCTTTCCGTAATCAACAGGCAAGAATCAGTGGCATGCAGTGGTCAATTCAAGAGTAGATTATCTTTCCCAATTATTTGGAAGGTTATCTGAGCCTATTACAGCTATTCCCTCTCTTCATATCTCATACAATTGAGTTTTCTTTTATCTAGTCTACTCTTGACTCAGGTTTTCTGTGTCTCAGTTCAATACTAATTAACTTGTTTGTTTTCATTAGTGCTGTGCTATAACATTCACTTTGTTTTCAATTGCTCAATTTGTGAGAATGGGAAGAATTTGAAGCGAAGTGAATGGAGAAGGGGTGGGTTCTACTTACCTTTACTACCGGTTCGCCTCGTGTCCGCCCACACTCTTCTGCGCATGCACAGATCACCTATGATGACGTCTGGGTCAGTGGACGGAGCCTCCTGCCAGTTTTACTACTGGTTCTTGCGAACCGGTCCGACTGGGGCAACCCACCACTGGAATGGAGGAAATAGCTGTACAAATGCTACTATAAATTCATGGGAAGAGAGGGAAGATTGCCGTATTTGAGAGAGGGAGAAAAGTCTCATCATCCATCAACCCACGTTAAGGCAACCTCAAAATCTGTACAAAATGATTTATTGCCTAGAAAAGAAGCAAAACAAGCCTTGCTTTGTTTTCAAGGAGTAAAAGATCCCTACAAAAGCTGCAGCTCTAGTTCAGCATGACATGCTTTTTATTATATCTTTTATTTTATTAAAATATGGCAAGGTGGCTATAAGACATATTTATTTAGTTGATGTTTTATCAAAAGCCTTCTCATCGTAATTTACCAAACAGTTCACTTTCGTCTGGGCTGCTGTATCGGTTTGATTTTACATGAGTCTGTGTTTTTCAAGTTTCCTTCCCCAGAATGGGATACCGTGACCCCAGAAGCGAAAGACCTTATCAACAAAATGCTTACAATCAATCCTGCCAAACGCATCAATGCAACTGAGGCCCTCAAACACCCATGGATCTGTGTAAGCAATATTTACTTCATTAATTATGTTTTGCCCAGGTGTCATGTGGTTGAGGATCAAAATGTAAGGTTAGGTATTTGGTTATTCATACACATCCACATTCTCTTAATCCATTTTACTATTTTGCAGCCTATTAATTTCCTTCTATAAAATCTTTTCTCAGTATTGTAGTTTACCCTCAGACACATAGAATTTATACCACAGTGGTAGAAGTGATTGGACAATCATTTGTCTGAAATGGTTTAGGATTTCCTGTTTGAGCAGGGAGTTGGACTAGAAAACTTCCAAGGTCCCTTCCAACTCTAACGGTATTTTCCTTTGTTCTTCAGAGAATTGATGTTTTGTAGTGCCAGTACAAAAGGGGACACAGTGGCTCAGTGGCTAAGACGCTGAACTTGTCGATTGAAAGGTCGGCAGTTCAACGGTTCGAATCCCTAGTCCCGCATAATGGGGTGAGCTCCCGTTACTTGTCCCAGCTTCTGCCAACCTAGCAGTTCGAAAGTACATAAAAAATGCAAGTAGAAAAATAGGGACCACCTTTGGTTGGAAGGTAACAGCGTTCCGTGCGCCTTTGGCGTTTAGTCATGCCGGCCACATGACCACGGAGATGTCTTTGGACAGCGCTGGCTTTTCGGTTTTGCAATGGAGATGAGCACCGCCCTCAAGAGTCAGGAACGACTAGCACATATGTGCGAGGAGAACTTTTACCTTTTAGTGCCAACACATGAGGTTTCTGTTAAAGGGTCATGTAAGATAATAGCTATAGGTAATCTTCATTTAGCAACTGCCTCATTTAGTGCCCATTCATAATTACAACAGTGATAAAAATATAGTTATGATAAAACATATTTCACAACCTACACATATCTGTAAAGCAAAGGAAAGCTGAAGTAAGGTTGTAAGTGTGTTGTTACATTTATACTTGGTGACTGCTTCACTTAATGAACAAGTTGCCAGTTCCAATTGTGGTCACTAAATGAGGCCTACCTGTACTTTTAATTAAGCACCAAAATCAATCCTACAAAGCAGAAGGTATAAAAGCAGGATCTGAATAATATATTGGAATTGATAATCGGTGATCATGTTAAGGAGAAAAAGAGTTCAGTCCCTGTAGGTAATATAATATTCAGCGGCAACACAAATTAAATTGAACTTAAATGGTGGGAAGGAGCACTGTTATTCTGACTGGGAACTCTAGAATTGTCACTGACTTCTGGATGCATCTCCAAAAAAAGAGTTATATTAAATAACAGTGTAGATAAAGCTGCATGCATTGAAACATATACTCTGTTCTTGTCTTTCAGCAACGCTCTACTGTTGCTTCGATGATGCACAGACAGGAGACCGTAGATTGTTTGAAGAAGTTCAATGCAAGAAGGAAACTCAAGGTAAGAGAGCAATTTTTATGGATCCTTTTAGTTCCTTTATTTATTGTTCGTAGCATTTCCAAAAATATATTCTAATTAATCCATAGTAGTTAATTTTATATGCAGAAATATCCAGTTTACATTTATGATGGCTTTTATTCTTCTTCTTTGTGCAGATTTTGTATTACCTTGTTGCAGAATTTGATGCCTGTACTCCTTTGTTTTAATATTCAGACTAATAAAATAAAGCCAGTTTCCCAATTTGTATGTGCAAATTCTTGCTCTCTATGTCTGAGTACAGCATTCTCAAATACTAAAAACAATGTAGCAGATACTGATTATCTGAAACTACACTTATTTTGAGCCCTAGAGAAATTTCTCTTTTAATATTCCTTTTCCTCAATCTTCTCTGTGGGGCTGAATGTATGTATATATAGGTGTACATTGGAAGGGTAGATGGAAATTTGCATTCATGTGTGAAATTGAAATAAATGCAAGCATACCTCCCTTTTTAATATGACATTTTAGTGCTTTTTTCCCCAAAAAATACCAAGTATTGTCAGTTTATGTTTTTAATAGGGAATAGAACTGACACATACTCTTACCATATTTGAAAGCAAAACCTCAACAAACATAAGAAGAAAAGTATAGAATTTAGCATGTATTCTACCACTATTTATAAATACTATATGTGAAGATGAGCAGATTTAGGATTCAATATTATATTTTGATATTAAAAATCATACAGTTTTATCTTCTAAAATATTGGCATTATGTTGGATTTTCAGGGAGCCATTTTAACAACAATGCTGGCTACAAGAAATTTCTCAGGTACGTGCAGTTCACTTCTATGCCTCTGTATTGTTAACTGTTGCTATGCATTCATGGAATGCATTTTTAAAAAATCTTCAACTTGTTGACATTATATTCTGTTTGTTTTTGGCAAATATATTTATGTTGACTTATGCATTGTCCAATTATAAGTGGAATAGGATGAAATAACCACCTTTTGTTATTTCGTCCTTGCTACAATATTTTTTCTAACTTCTTTTGTTATTACAGCTAAACATCTTACAAGAGTTGAAAGCATTTGTTAAAATACACAAATATGAGATTCAAAACACCCCCTTTCCTAAATTTTGTAGATTTTATATACAGTATCTATTGGAAAAGAATTTTACAATTAATTCCCGACAGACTTTATTAAAACATTTCTGTCAATTGTTTGGTTATGTTTCCCTTTTAAATGTGTCTGGAGGTAGTTGGGTACATGATAGGAAGGATTTTTCTTCAGTATTCAGACAGTGCTCCTTCTGTATTAGATTACATCCTTGCCATATGCAGTACGTGATGGAAAACTGCTAGTTCAAAATGTATGGTAGTTGTCTGCTAGACTCCTATGCTGGGTATATATCAAATTTCTTTCATAATCTCTTCATTATGCCAAAAATATAATTTGAACAGAAGGCCTCTGGTTGAAACCTTAAAATGCTTCTGATATTTAAAGTTTACTTATATTGTTCTAGATAAGTCTTTTCCAGCTAGCATGAGAACTGACACTAAATTAGCAAAGATTATAATAAGTAATTTTATTATTACAGTGGGTCACACAGTCAGCCAGATGTTTAGATTGGAGTTGACATTTTTGCCCACCTATCAAGTACCTGATATAAGCAGATGTCATTGTTTTATAATGATAAAGTATTGTCCCAGAGTATAAACTGTTCCAAACATCTGGCTGCCTTTTGCAATTGACTTATGGCAATTTTGTCAATGTGAATAATGTTCAAGTGATGCTACAGATTGTTTGGAATTACACCCAAGAGTGCCTATTACTCTTGGTATTGCTTTCTTTTGCCATAGTCTTTTCTCTTTGTTATTTTGTATTATAGTTGGTCTCACAGTTAACCAGAAAAACTGGATTTGGCATTTTTGTCCACCTATCAAGTCCTTCCCAAGGACTTGTATTATTATTTTTATGGTTTGACGCACAGTCAGCCAGATGTTCAGACTGGATTTGGCATTTTTGTTCACCTATTTCCAAGGGCCTGGGATAAACCAATATTTTTGTTTGAAGGTGTTACAGACAACAGTGTGAAATCATAGCTGACAGTTCTTTATCTGGTGTTGGCCTTCATATACATTGAGTTCCTCCCAAGATCATAGATCAGGGGTGTCAAACTCGAGGCCTGCAGGCTGGCTGCGTCATGTGCTGGTCACGCCCACGCCCAGTTTAACGAAGGGAAAAAGTTCATGATATGTCATGTGACGACACCGTGACAATGCGAGTTTGACACCCCTGTCATAGATGTTGTATCAGTGTAGAATATGTGCAAACTCAGGCAAATGATCAATTTGTAATTGACAGGTGGAAATTTGTCAATGCACAGATTTTCTAAGTGTCATCACGATTGTTTGGTATGGGGCCTAGAGTGCCAATAACAACTGGACCCACCACAGCCTGTTTATGCCATAATCTTTCAACTTTGATTTTCAGATCTTGATATCTGTGATCTTCTCCAATTCTTTGTCTGCTATTCCACTATTCCCTGGTATTGCCAGATCAATTATTCATACTTCATTCTTTTCAACTACAGTTGAACCTGGTTTGTGAGGAACTAAGAGTTTTATCAGTTTGTATTCAGAAATACCAAAGTGTTTTAATCTGCTCATTTTCAACTACTTTTTCAACATCAATTTTTCATTACTGGCATGTGATGATTTTTACAGATGTTCCAATGAATCATTTTGGCAACCATGTTATACATTGTTTATAAACAATTAGTGCAATCTTCTTGCACAAGCTGAGTATATGATCCACTGTTTCTTCTGCCTCTTTTGCACAATCTGCACTTTTAATCATTTGACGATTTTTCAATTCTGGCTTTGATTATATTAGTTTAAATAGCTGTTGAGCAGCCAAAATTAAGCCTCCAGATTCTTTTTTTAATGTTCCAGTTGTAAGCGATTGCCAAGTTTTATCTTTATCCACCATTCCCTTGATCTTTTGTAGAAATTGATTCTGTAATACTTTTTCTTGCCAGCATTCTTTTCTTGTTTTTTTTGCATTATTTCAATATTCATGTTTTGTTTCCTGCACATTCAGTAAGTTCCAATTTTTAACTGGCATCAATACTTGTTTTTGGCTGTCTTACATGTAATCAGCCAAAGTTTTCTTTCACTGATTGTTTTACTTGAAGTAAACATCGACCTCCATTTCTGTGGGGCAAGTATAATCTATCAATATCAATATGGGATGTTGTGTATAGTGAATAGTCATTAGCTTTCTTGTTTTTCAGTTCAAACTGCCAGGTTCAGTTTGTGTCTAGTTACTAATTCCAGGGGTATTTTGCATAATAGGTATAGCCCGAGTATTGATGGCTTTGATGGTGTTTCCACCATTTAATTTTATCTTTAGCACTTTTCTCTCTCTAAATCAGGGCTGTTAAACTTGTGACCGCAGGCCGGATGCGTCACATGCTGGCCACCCGGTTTAGCAAAGGGGAGAAATGTCACGATATGTCATGTGATGCCGCCATGACGATGTGAGTTTGATAGTGGTATCAGAGCATTTGCAGGGAGGATTGGCCTTTCATATCTAGAGGATCCTCACGGATATAATCTGTGAATCTTTTCTATTCACAAAAGTTACACAACCGAGAAAAATTAAGAATGTACAAAACTCCTAAATTTTAATAGTTAAATATATTCCTTATTAATGGAAACTAAACAATTTGTCATGCAAAATTTAGTGCCCCTCGTGTGCACCCGCCACTGCAGTTAGGTGCGTGAGGGGAACACATTCCATGCACAGGCCAAGGGCAAGACCTGTAAACAGGCTATGAAGATGACCAGCAGCGACCTGCTCTCCAACCACAAGCTGAAACAGACAGTGGGGCAGAGTAAGCGCATCCAACGATCCTCATCATGTTTCTTTCTACCGCTTCTGCTTGCTGCTTGGACAGCCAGCCTGGTGCTATGCTGGCAGTGGGCTACGGAGCCATAGCGTGCATTAGCTGAGGGGCCGTCAGGCTGCGTCTACAGCCGGAAACCATCCCTTTCCCCCGCACACAAAGGGCGGCTGTTTCTGGCTGTAGCTGCCCTGCCCCCTGCCTTGCCTCACCTCATCCTGTGGGACAAGCCTCCTGCCCAGCGCCCCACCCATCTGAGAATGGGTGGGGTGCTGGGCGGGGTTGGAGATTCCCTCCCCAACCCCGCCCAAACCCACAAGCACCACCCTCGTGAGCGGCATCAAGCGGGCCACAACCCCTGGCCACGCCCAGTCAGTTAGGACCATTTCCCTGGCCATGCCCCCTCCCCCCGGCCCACAGAGGACAACCACAATGCTGATCTGGCCCTCAATAAAATTGAGTTTGACATCCCTGTTGTAGATCAATTCTTCCATTCAACCTGTGTGTTGTTTGTTAATATATGTCATGGTTACATTTTACATTTACAAATTACATCTATTCTATGTAATTTAAGACAAGGTGGTATCCAGATGTCATGAGGGCATTTGATTTTAATTTATTCATTTTTTTTAATATGCACGTTGTGTACAACATGCTCCTCTTCCTTTTTTTTCTTTTGGTAATTTTTCAATGTATTTATAAAACATTTTACTTTCTTTTGGTTCTTAATCAAGAGCCGAATATTTGTGAAATATTTGTTTCTTGTGAGGTAAGCTCCTAAGAAGCTAAAAATTCCTAAGAAATGCTTCCTCCAACCCATGTGATGTTGTTGCCTTTTGTATGCTGCTTTAGGACAGAACAAAATCTTACAGGAAGTACATCATAGTATCATATTGAACCTACCCTCCATTAAATTGTCTAGTGCTTATGTGACCATGGAAATTCATAGCAGGATGACATGTTTCAAAATCCTAAATATCATTGAGGAGGCAGGCTGAAGAAGCTTCGGGGCATTGCTTGTCATGGCTCCCATAACTTCTAGTTTCAGCCTCATTTTCATTCTTAGGGCTTTCAATGTAATAGTCTTTTAATTAAGAAAAATGAACTCAGTGCAAAATAGTTTCCCCCAATCCTTAGAGTGATTAGGCATATTTAAAAACTGTAATGGGGTAAAACATCTTTTTCATTTTAATATAACTCAGCATATATATATACTGTGCTTCTGGTTCTCATTTACTTGGGGAAAAAACCCTTATGTTTTCAAATTTTCTTACAGCTTTAAGAAGATGATAAAATAATTTGTCAAAAAGGGGATTTTTGGCATTTTCCACAAATAAATCATTATTTTAGTTCAGATTGCTAGTATGCATATTTTGATACCTTAGTTTTAATGGAGTTATTTAAAAAAATTAAGATTTCTTTCTGTTTAAAATTAATTATTTAATTTATGCCCAACATTATATTCTAGCATGCGTTAAGTAAGGTATCATTTAAATAATTAATTTTACTCTTTTATACTTCAACATATATTCAGAGTAGCTTGCTAAGTTGGATGTATATTTTATAGTTTGTTACAATATAGTTTGAGCAAAAACCTCTCTTCTGTAGCATCCATAATCCACAATGATTGCAAAACAGGTGCATTATGATATTGCAAACAAGTCAGAATTATCTGACTTGTCTTCACAATCCAATCTTCACAATGCACATTGTTATTCCCCATACTTCATTACTATATTGTTCTTCTTTATGATGAAGCTTTCTTTAGCTTTATCTGTGACACGTTTTTCGACCCATTCATGTAGAACACAAGGTTCTTTCAGTACTTTTTAAACAAGATTTATGATAATATTTCAGAAATCTCAGCATCTGGATTGTTTCCCCTTAACAGTCCAGTTTACCTTCCACATTCTTGAAAAAGAAACTCTCAGTCTTCTATATTGCATGAACTAGTGAAAAGCTGTTCTTTTAAGTCAGTGGGAAATTATGGCCCTTTTACGATCTGGCTCAGGAATTCTGGGAGTTGAAATGCACAGGTCATTAAAGGGGCCGTAGTTCCCCACTTCTGTCTTAAGTGACAAATGTACAGATACCATTTCAGTGTTCTTAGCATGATTGAAATAGAGTGCTCAGCTTTAATATTTTATGAATCAATTCTTAAAATTCATATAAAGTACAAGATTATAGGATTTGATGAATGAACTAACATTTAACCACAGTTTCCTTTTTTTGTATGATACATGCATGCAGCAATTTAGTTAATCAGGATTAACACAACGAGGAGGCAAGTCTTGGAATGCATTGTCAGTATCAGTCTTTTTCAATAAGATGCCCTTTAGACACATTGACCTGGAACTCCAAGAATTCTCAACCAAAATGGTTTATACCAATTTGGCTGGAGACGGTTGGTGTAGATACCTTCACTAATAAAAGTTTGTTTGCAGAGATGAGAAACATTTGATTTCTGGTTCAAAGCAAATCCATAATATGCATCACTGAGTTAGATTTGGACTTTTGTGCTTGATATTATAGCCCAGCATTTTAGCCATTGCTCTACAAAAGTCAGTGTTGTTTTAAATGCAGTTCTTAAAGAAGAAGGATGAATTCATTTGGATCCTGTTAATATTCAGCCAAATGTAATCAAAAAATTACCAAAGGTTAATCAGATATGTGCTTATTATACTGAAGTTAAAAAGCTACAAATTCATCAAGCTTAGAGATTAGTAAAATTATACTAATTTCATTTGGACTTTTATCCATCCATTGTTTTTTATGTTTAGAAATGGAACTTAGTTCCAAAGTATCAGCCACTGGAAGCATTATTCCTCAAATAATATTTTACAAGAACTTTGCCTCATTGCTTCAGCCAAATAGTCAGCTTCAATTATTGAAGATTGATATTATTTTTTGAAATATAAGAGGCAATACATTCTTGTTGTAAACATAATAAGCAAAACCTTATTAGTTGTGTTCTTGAAGTGGCAAGACTTATATAGTTTTACCACAGTGTATTTATTGATTTAGAAAATTAATATTTCATTCATTTCCTTAATGGCTCTTGATAATGTACAAAAAAATAACAATAATAAAATGTATTAAATAAGAAACACTAAAGACAAAAGCAAAAACATGAAATATTAAAATTTATAAATACTCAATTTTTAAAAATCTGAACAATACTATTTCAGTAAAGAAATATAATTAGTGTTCCTACAAAACAATAGAGAAGGGGGCTTGCTTCAACTTCAAGGTAATTTTATTACAAATTTGTAATTTGTAATAAATTAGACTTTGCAATGGAGAAAGCAAAATGAAACAATGCTAACAAATACATTTGTGCTGGAACATGCAATAGGCATCTAATTGTTGCTGGGCAGACTTTTGTATTCCTACTTCAATTTAAACATTTTGAGTCTAAATTGCCACTTATATAACCAGCATAATCATTTTGCCACAGAAGGAAGATTTTGGAGAGTGCAAAGTCAGTTTTCAAATTGTTTATGCAGATACAATCTAGTATGTTTTTCTTCAACCATCACGAAAACAGAATTCCTATCCATAAAGTGTTTCTGTTCAGAGCAGAAGATAATAGTGCCACAGATAATGCTTCACTCTCATTAAGATAATTGCATTTCTGTTTGGTAGTACTGTATAATATAATTTAGAACCCATTTGCTCAAAATGGTTTGTTAAATATCCAGCTCCAAATGCATTTATAATTTGAAAAGTTATTTATTTCATATGACAAGTAAATTATTGCTATATAAACTTCATTTATATAGCAATAATATCTAAAGTGTAAATTCTAACAATATTTTAGTTATCTTCTTAATATTAATTTTCCATATATCTGTTAATATTATTCTTATATAATTTCAACAAGACTACAAGTGAAGGTGCTCAAGTTCCTGAAGTCGGATTTTCTCTTGGAAAAAAACAAAACAAAACAAATAGCTAGGTCATTTTATAAAAGCTTATAAATACATTCATTATTCTTAAATGTACAACTTTTACCTTTTTTAAAAAAAAATCCAAGGACATGTCACAGGATCATAGGGGTTAACATGCACCATTTGACCTTCTTTGATTCTTTCTGCTTTGTCCTTTTTTGGAGGACAAAATATAGCTTGATACTTCTTCCCATCTTCTTTTTGTCTCTGCTGCTGAGAATTCCTAAATCACAAGATCCAGACCTTGGAATCTTCCCCAAACCATTAGGTAGGAATGAGAAGGAAAGGAAATGAGTTTGTGAAAAATCTCAATTTGATCAATCCCCTTCAACAGAGAGGTCAATGCCTGGAATGCACTACCTGACTCTGTGGTTTCATCCTCAAACCCCCATAATTTTAACCTTAGACTGTCTACTGTTGACCTCACCCCATTCCTAAGAGGTCTGTCAGGGGACTTGCATAAGTGCACCAACGTGCTTACCATCCATGTCCTACTGTCCCCATTTATTCGTATCCATTTCCTGTATTCATAATCATGTTTATACTTATATCTGTTATCTTATACATGCTTGACAAATAAATAAATAAAAATAAATAAAATAAATTTTCTTCTGATCCAAGTGGGAAGAGCTGGCTTCATCCAATTCTCTTCCATTGAGTTTCATATGGGGTAATTTAAAACAAAACTACGAGAGGCATTAAATGCTTTCTACCTCACCTGCGCAATTTAAGGAATTTCTTATCTATGACTAGGTTTGTTCTATCGCTCATGTATAACAAATGTGGATATATTTTATCATATATAGTACCTTGATAGAAGGAAATATTTACAGTAAGAAAAGTTTTTAAATCAACAATGTAAGTCATATAAAATTATGACCTATAATTTTCTCCACCTTTGTCTGTTTCTCCTTTATGTGTACTTTACATATCAAGATATATCACATTATTATCGAAGTGCTTTGCTAAGAGATGGTAGAATGATGAAATGACAAATAATGATAACTGGAATTCACAAAAAGAAAGAAAAATATTTTTTATAGTTTTCTTGTTAAATTAGGCAACTGACACTATTTGTTTCCTTCTGATTTATAGCAGCCAAGAGTTTATTGAAGAAACCTGATGGAGTAAAGGTAAGTTACAAATATAAAGGGCAGCTAATGATAGTCTCACTAATTTTTCACTGGCAAATCACCTTCTAAATTCCATGCCTTTGGGCACTGATATAACTGATCCTGTTCTTCATTAAGAAGTCTATATATGTATGCACATACACAAGAACATGCAAACAAATGTGTGTGCACATGTACACCCAAATACAAAGAGAATGGTATCACCAGTGCCCTGTTGTTTATTGCAGAAAGTTAAGAATACAGTTCTCTTTCTTTTCTCTTTCTTTTTAACAGAAAATTAACAGTTAATAGAATACTTTTTAAGAGGCCTTTGGGGCAGCAAGTAATATTTACTTAGAAGTAGGTGAGGCAGGGATAAATTATAATTACTTAGTTCAAAAGCCATGTAACGTGTTTTACTTGTTGAACTTCTTAATGTTTCAGAGTTGTAAATCTTTTGATTTTTCTTGTGAACTGCTTAGAGTCTTATCTTAGGAAGGGGCAATGCATAAATCAATGTGTTAATTAATTAATTAATTTACTTTCTAGTCATGCTAATGATTTATCCCTTTCTAGCCATTTTTTGAATAGCATCCTTTTTATATTAGCATTGAAAAAATTATCACAGAGTTGGCCAATCATTGACTTGTATTCTGCCAGAAGAAATCATTATACCTGGGCAGAAAATAATATATTTTAAGATCTGAGTTACAAGTTCAGATTGACTAAGCAAAATTATTAAGAAATAGAAAATGGTTGTAGCTTTCCTATATGACATAGAATTTCTGAGCCTGTGACCTCAGAATAGCATACAAGGAGAGATTGTTCCATATACAGTATACTGTTTTGGTACATAGAAAATTAGTTTATGAAAAATGGGGGGGGACAAGATTATTAGCTTTAAATGAAACTTTTCAGCTGTTAATTGAAGTGTAATTTCTAAGTATCTTTCAGTTTATTTGAACATTCTTGAAGTTAAGTTTCTACTCTTCCATTTTTCTTTTCTTGAATCTAAACTTTAGAGTATATAACTCATTGTATGTTTCCATTGAATTTGTGATATGCATACATTTATATATTTCATGTGTAAGCACACTGGTAATCTAAGCCAGCTACTCTGAAACAGCCAAATTCAATATGATTTATTTCTGGACCCGGCCGGTGCACTTCCCAAGATTAGCTGGACCTCTTGCAGAATGCTATTTGTGGTACTGAGAATATGTTCTAGTCCTTTTTCCACTAACCCCAATGACTATGTGAGACTTCTCTGTATCCAAAGTCTATCCTTTTCAGTGGAACAAAATGGCTGCTTCTTTCCCACTATTGGTTAATTCAGTAGAAATGCCTTGCCTTAATGCATATGTAATGCTGCATACCCCAATTCAGGTAGTTCAATAGTATTTTATTGCAAATCTCTAACAGTCTTGGTTAAAATTGGTTTATTTAAACAGATATGCTGATGATAGTTACTACCAGCAATTTGCAGCTATTATTCTTGGAGTGGGGGTGTTATGGCGAATATTCAGAATTCATAGGGCACCATGAAAGGAGAATTCATTTTTCAATGCCTATCAAAGAGGAGATGCAGAATATTTCTCCCATTTCTGCAAATTGGGCCTTTTTAAAACAGGCAGCCAAAATACAACAAACATGTTGTTCTCCATGCATTGATTCTTTAAATCCAACCAGTCATATTTTCTTCTTTTCCTTTCTCTCTGACTGGTCATATCAGAAAAGGAAGTCCAGTTCGAGTGTTCAAATGATGGTGAGGATCTTTATCTGCCAGACTTTTCATCCTATGAAATGTTCACACTTAGAAATGAAATAGATGTATTTATCATTGAGTTGGTAATGTAACATCAGAAGCTACAAGACTTAAAATGCACATTTGTGACTTCTGCATCACTGTAGTGTTACATCCTAAATAAATCATTTGCATTTTTTTTTACACACTGTGCAAATATTGGCATGAAACTGATGGAATACTGGCCATGACCCTATTCCAGTACAGTAGCATTGTTATTTGAAAGCCTTCCGTATTTTTTGTACAATCTTCTTGTACTTAAAACAGGTAGATTTCTGAAAGGTAAAGAAAAAAAGTGATATATTCATTCCAGTAATCTTAGAACCTGGCAGGAATTTGGAAGTATCAATTTAAACCATCACTGGAGCCACCACTCACTGGTTGGTATTACACAGTATTTGTACCAAATAGTACAGTTTGGTTTCTGTTATCACAGACTTATTTTAAATATAATTGAGTGCGATATATGTTGAATCAGATAATTCAGTTGAGTTTATTATATTTATTTTATCAATACAATTACTCTTTTTTGAAATAAAACTGTTGGAAAAGTTAGCTTTTTTTTTCTTTGTACTATTTTAATGTAGAACACTATTTTTACTATGTGTTTAGAATGGCAAACCTGGATTCATAGATACAAGGAGGAAATGAAAGACAAGTTACTAACAAATATTGCAGAGTATCATAAATAGTTAACTCAAATTTTTTAAAAAGTAAAATGACATTGGTGAATAGCAAATGTTGAATCCCACTTGGCTATGCTTGTGTTTTTCCTGGGAGATTTTAAATGTTTGTTAAATTTTTAGGTGATTTAAATATTGTTATAATATTTAATATTGTGGCAAAATAGATTAGAAGTGTGAATCAATCAGTAAATGTTGATTTTCCTGTCAGACTAGTTTCCTTATTTTTCTATTTCTATCATGTCTGTATTACATCTGCAAAAGATTCACTCTGTCTAAATTAAGACAAAACAAACTATTTCTATCCTACTGATTCATGGGACATCAGTCTTTAGGAAAGGGGTCTACAATTCCACATTCATTTAGAAGATATTGCTTAATATTATTTAGAAACCATACAATTTTGAATTAGCTTCTAAAACCTTTTCCTAAATGTTAGTCTTTTAAAAAAAAGTATATAATATTATATGCACTGAAGGTGATAACTATCATTATTAGTGAAAATAATGCTCTTCATTGTAATGTCTGAATGGTTTGTATATAATTATAAAATGACTATCAAGATAGAGCCTGAAACCCCATGTAAGTTTTGAAATGTATTTACGCCACTGATGTACAGATTTACATTGTAAAGTATTTTCTCTTGGCCACATATCCTTCTCAAGATTAAAGTTGCTTGACTAATACTTAATATTTGATTCCTGCTCACGATTTTGATAAGCCATATTTTTTCTTTTTGTCGGTGGATATTTTCCTCTATTTTTTAAAGTACCAATTTTGTGGTATGCCAACTTGTGTTCATATAACTTTATGTCTTTCTTTTGTTATGAGCTTTCTTGAGATTATAAATTACTTTTTTGTGTTACATAGAAAAAATAGCATGAAATTAGTTTTTTCACCCATCTTTTAATTCAAAATAAATTGGTATTTTTTTTAAAAAAAATATTTAATTGAAAGGATACAGAAGTTCCTGAACAATATAGGAGTGGAATACTGTCTATGAACGTGTCTGTAGGTCATGTTTGTAGATTACCATTTACAGAGATTGTCCATTTACAGAGTAGATTGCCATTTACAGAGCTTTGCTAGTATGATTTTTTTTTCTCATATTGCAAGACCCTATTTTTAAAAAAATATTGTTTAATGCTGCATTTTTGATAAAAGCACTGTGAATATTTCCCATTTTAAGCATACTGTATATGGTTAAAGATTAACATAGTGGATATATCCCCCACCATGTTGTTATATCTCAGATCTATGCAAGATAAGCTATCACACAGTTTCATTTATTTTATCACTTCTGTAAAATGTTTTATTTTTGTGGGTGACAGTCAATACATCTTTTTGCCTTAAGCTACCCTTTGAATTCCAAATTTTTGACTGTCTTCTCTGTTGTATTTAAATAACCACTTCAGATTCATCCTCTCCAGGGCTTCAACCTTTTACTCCCATTCATGCTTTTTTTAAGGATAGTAATACATTTGACATCTCAGTATAGTCTGCCAGAATAATACTTGCATTACCCAATAATAAGTCTAAATGTGATATCATTAGCTTGCCCGTATTCATTTAATATTGGTCAAAGAAGATGGGTGAAAAACAACATTATTATTTTTATTTTACTTTTTGTTTTATTTTACTTATTTTGCAAATATTCTGTATTGCTGATCAGTTAAATCTTTTGTCTGGTCAGCTCTATTGTTTCAGTGGTTGCTTCCATTTTCCAGTCTCTATGTTTCTCTGTGTTTATGCTTGTATATGTGGGTACACAGGCATACATATAGACACACATACAGCCATGCCTGAAAATATATATATATTCACGGTAGTTCTAAATTTTAGCTTACTTATATGATGAAGAAAAATTAATCAAATTTCCAAAATTACATTTAACACGCGAGGCTTTTTTTAAAGCTGCAAATATAAAATATTTGCAATATTTTTAGGGTGCATTTGTGGTATGTTCATTTTTAGTTCTTAAGAGTTTAAATCTAGTTCATAATGTAGATTAGACTGAAAGATTAATTTGTATACAGAGAAACCAGACAATTTTGGATGAAACAATCTTCTATTAATTTAGTTAATTTTCTACATAATTCACTTTAAAATGTACTTACCAAGTGAAAAGAACTATATATATCTCAGTGTTATGAATACTGTATGCTAATTATTCATTTGAGCTGTTGATTAATTCAAATCATTTTTAAAGTTATATTTCAGGAAACCAATCTTTCTGACTATATATAGAGGAGATGTTTGCTATAGTAGTTAAATAATAATAAATGTTTTATTGTTGATTAAACTGATTTTCATTTGTACCTGGAGAAAAAAAAATATTATATTGTGCTGAAAATTTAGCCTGAACTTCAAATAATAACATTTTTCTTCCTTGGCAGTGAGTGACCATATTTTTTCATATTTAAGAGATATTACTTAACAACAAAAGAAAATTAATATTTTTTGAAGAAATGTTTTTCTTATAAGTAACCTTATTTAAGGACATATTTATTTTATTTATTAAATGTTTATATCACCCATGACACAAGATGACTCTAGGTAACAGAGTCTATTTAAAGGTAGATACAGTGAAGCCATGTGATCCATAGCAAGAAAACATTGCCTTATGGTTAAATAGGAGATATATGTCAGTCTGAAACTGAACTAATACCTGATGTACTTCTTCAGCATCCAGTTTTTGTCTCCACAATGTAAAAAAGATGTTGAGACTCTAGAAAGAGTGCAGAGAAGTGCCACAAAAATGATTAAGGGACTGGAGGCTAAAACATATCAAGAACAGTTGCTGGAAATGGATATGTCTATTTTAATGAAAAGAAGGACTAGGGTTGACATTATAATAGTGTCCCAATACCTTAGGGGTTGCCACAAAGAAGAAGGAGTCAAGCTGTTCTCTTGTCCTGCCTTCAGGACAAGAGCAATGGATGGAAACTAATCAAGGAGAGAAGCAACCTAGAACTAAGGAGAAATTTCCTGACAGTTCGAACAATTAATCAAACAACTTGCCTCCAGAAGTTGTGAATGCTCCAATACTGGAAGTTTTTAAGAAGAGATTGGACAACCATTTGTCTGAAAAGGTATAGGTTTTCCTGCCTGAGCAGGGTATTGGACTAGAAGACCTCCAAAGTTTTTCCATCTCTGTTATTCTATAGTAATCAGCAGCAAGCCATTAATGGTTTGGTTTTCAAATATTCTGGACTACAGCTCCCATATTTTTTTTAATAATTGGCAATGCTAGCTAAAGTTGATGGGAGTTGGAACAAAACATCTAGAAAACATTTTGTTTGTCATGTTCAGTAATATCTCATATAAATGTGGAAAGTGACAAATCAGCTTTTAGTCCTATCTAAATTTGCATTAATAACATATCGCTTAATACAAAGTATTTTTAAGGAGCTGCTTCATAACATGTTTGAAATGATAATCTGTGAAATTCCTCCTATACAGCAATGTTAAAATGGATTGAAAAGATGCTGCAGTCGTTTCTTATAGATGTGTTCTTGCTATTTGGATGCTGTAAATTCATCCATTTATCTTTATCATCATAGAGCAGCTATTCAATAGCATTCTGTAGAAGACAGGCTCAATAGCATTCTACAGAGGCAGATATATAGATATGATTATCTGAAGTGAGAGGTCTAAGGCTTGTTTTGTTTCTATTTTCTGCATATCTACAGATAAACAACAAAACCAACGTAGTAACCAGCCCTAAAGAAAATATTCCCACCCCAGCGCTGGTATACCTGGCTTTATCCTTAACTTGTTTCTTAGTTCCATTTCCATCTTTTTTCCTCATTCTCTTTCCTTTCTACTTTTTTTTTTACTTGTTGTTTGCTTTTTAAAATTGTCGAGCTTTTTTCTTCTTTTTCTCTTTCTTGGGAGCTGGGGATTGTACTTCTTAGGAGGTAGTTTGTTGTCAAAGTGTGTGTTTCTAATTAGCCGGTGTGCCATGGAAGGGGATGCACTTATGCAGTAACATTGGTCACCGCCACAGTTGAGTTTCTTTGCATGCTGTGTAAGAAAGTGAATAGAGTGTGCTTTTGTGTTGCCTTTAGCTTCTTTGCCTGATTGCTATTTCAGTATTTACAAATTAGGTGCCAACCAAATTTCTTCAATTTAACAAGAGTGTCAAAGTCAAGGAGAGCTAATGAGATTATTGCTAGGCAACAACCAAGTAGACCTTATTCAGCTTTTCATTCCTTTACTTTCTCAGCAGGACTTTGCATGACTTTGCTTACTGAGATCTAGAGGCATCTAGTACTGAAAGCTTGCTATATTCCACAGTTATCTTCTATTATATAAAAATCATTGTGCCATAATAGCCTCTGCGGGGAATGTGTAACTAATGAGTTTGGCTATTTATATCATAACCTTGCTTCTTTTGTTTATTCTGATTTCTCAAGGCTATGTGGCAAAGCTTTAAAATTAAGGCCTGTTTTTATTAATTGGCAGAGACATCCCACTTTGCACAGTTTGATAAGTTTGAAGAAATTTTGATTTTGTCAAGTTTTGCAACACACTCCGATTTACTTGGAGGTACTAGCTTCATAAGATATGTTTATAAGGTATTTCCCAAATGCCTTTGCACAATTGATGAAAACGCTTAAATCCACCCCAGATTGAAAATGCTGGGCTCACATTTAAAGATTGTGTGGCTTTGGAAAACTCTAAATAAAATGAATTAGAGGCTGTCAGCACTTCTCATTGCTCCTTGGATTGTTGCAAACTTATAAATGCACATCATGCAGGTACTTAGCCTATTATGATCCCCTGTATTTTTGTAACTTTAATTGTGGTTTAATCAGTTAATTAATATAATTTCCCTCATGGAAACTATGTCAAAAAAATAGAATGGTATAAATGATGTAAAGAACAGGACAGCAATACAAATGATCAGTGCATTTGCTTGGAAAAGTCAATGCCTCTCTAGATCTCCAGAACTTCAAAGCCCTGCAAGTTTTCAGATCATCACTAAGATTTTTTGCATGCTGCTACACTAGATATGATTACCTTTCTAACAGTTTGGCCGGTGACATCCTCTGGCAGCAGTTAACCTTGCTTTAGCTCTTGACCATATTAAGCACATTTCATCTGGTCATTTCATTCTTCCTTCTCTTACTAATGCAAAATCTATTGACCAAGAACTGTTTTTTCTCTCTATTTTACTCTCACTCAGGAGCCCCAAACTACAGTAATCCACAATCCAGATGGAAATAAGGTATTCAGAAAGGGGAAGTCTGCTCTGTTCTTTTCAAGTTCCATGTTCCATTCAGTTTTCCAAATCGCTATGTTAATGCAAGTGTTAGCTAGGAAATTAATTAGGAATTCATGAAGTCTGTAGAGGCCTACGCCATTTGTAACCAGATCCTGGTGATCGCTTTTCCTCAACCACAATAGAGATCAGGCAGGTTGAGAACCAAGAAATTGTAGTGTGAGCTGTTTAATTCTTCTAGTTTCTGTTTCTGGCTTCTGGTTTGGAATAGGAGAGGAAAAAGAGTTTTCTTCAAATGCAGGTTATTCTTTTTTTTTAATGCAATAATTACTAAAGTTCAAGGAAGACACACTTGGAGATCTGTTTTATCTTCTGTTTCTCATTCATTTTTATGCAATCAAACTAGGAATTCTTTGGCAAAGCACTGCTAATTTTAAATTCCCTAGTGGGCTACACCTATGTATGCATTTTAGGAGATGCTGTTCTTATAAAGTTGTAATATCTCTTCCTCCATAGAAACGTGAATACAGATTATCAGTTATGTTTGGTTATTTATATATTTCTTGATTTATAACATTTATATGACTGCCCATCTCAAGATATCTAGGCAGCGTGCAACAAAAAATAGAAAAATACTAAACACATCTAAAGCAGTCAAACCAAAAAGTTAAAAATGCATAAAACATAAGAGATTAGATCAAGCAAGGGAACCATCTCAATATATCACCAGCCCAGTCAATATCTTGAACTTTTCCAGTTATGAACAGCAATTCTGTTATTGGCAGTCAAAATAAATTTATGTCCCTTATGTTCCTCTTTGCCTTCCTGGGGATTCCAATAGCTCAGTGCATATATGACCCTCGAAGAAGATGTAGAACTAATGAAAAACAATACGGTCCAGAACAGAAGCTTTCCATTCCTAAATAGAGGAATAACTTCGTTGACTTTTCTCTGAATCAATCAGCTGCTCACGCCTTCAGGGCAGGGGTGAAATCTAAAAATTTTCCCTACCAGTTCTGTGGGCGTGGCTTGGTGGGGGGGTGTCCTGTGACTGAGTGGGCGTGACCAACTCAAAGTCACTCAGCCACGCCCACTTAGTCACAAGACCCCTACCACCAAGCCACGCCCACAGAACCCAGTAGGAAAACTTTTTAAATTTCTATTCTGCCAGCGTGTCCTTACCTTTCCCCTGCGGCTCCGCCCACCCGCCCCATTCCCCGGAGTCGAGGAATGCACCATTCCCCGACTCCTACTGCCCATCTTTCTCTCGCAGCTGGCTATCAGGGAAGGCAAGCGCCCGAAAGGTACCAGAGTCGCTCACTCTTCTTCTTGAATGAGCTGCTCTGGTCCACGCGCCGGTCCACGCAAGTGCACACCCAACCTGCCACTGAATTAAATTGCGCAGCCGGCACGTGGATCAGAGCAGCTCATTCAAGAAGGAGAGTGAGCGATTTCGGGCGCTTGCATTCCCTGATAACCAGCTGCGGGAGAAAGGTGGGCAGTAGGAGTTGGGGAATGGTGCATTCCCCGACTCCAGGGAATGGGGCGGGTGGGCGGAGCCTCCAGCTTCCATTGCTACCGGTTCTCCGAACCACCGGCCATTATCGCTACCTACTCGCCCGAGCCAGTCCGAACCGGGAGCATTTCACCCCTGCTTCAGGGGCAAAAATGTTATCGTGGGTATTACCCATACATTCAGCTGTATGTATAGGATTGAATTGTGTTGCATCTTTATTTTCTTTCTGTATAAACTTGAAAAGGGGCTAAGTGACTGTTAAATTCTGAGATAAACAACTATCACTTTACAGAACAAGAAACCCTGTACTACAGTGTTTAATACTACAATGTTTAATTCTACAATGTGGTTACTGCTTCATAATCCAATAATTGAAGAAAATATCTCTATATACTTTGTCATCAATATTCTTGTCTGATTTAATTTACTTGTAACTTATTCTGTTGTGTTTCTAGATAGTAGTTGAGTATTAGCATTAATACTATAATCTTTTCTCAAGAACAAATACTGGCTTATTTGATATAGATCTGTGACTCATTTTCATATTTATGTATGTTAGATTTTTATGTTTGCCTTGCTATCACTTCCTCATTACATCATATTTTGGCTGAAATTTACACTGTATATTTTCACTAATATCAAAATTTTACTTGACTTCAAAGTCCATATTAGGCAAACCATCATAATTCTTTAACATGTCTGCATTATTTGTTTTCTCTGTATAATTATATAAATGGTTACCGTATAAATTTGCCCTTCCTACTTCCTGTTAAACAGAAGCCAAAATGAGTTTCAATATGGAAGAAAAAAACTTTTGTAGAAGAAATATTTGTTAAATATGCATCACTTACCCCTCCCCCAGTAAAAATAAAGCCCAACATGATGGGCAAATTCAGTGTTTCCATGGAGTTGACTTCAAAGGTGATGCATGAAATTTCTTCCTCATACGTATGTCTAGGTTTCATAATCATTTCTAAGAGTGACTTTTATAACCAAGCAACTCTCTGTATATATCATTTTTCAGCCAGTCAGAGCATGGTGGTTTATTTTCAATGGATGGACAAATATTTGGGATGATGTGGCATTCACTGACACATTTGTTGGTGTGCATATATCTTGCTGACAATACATGTTTGTTTGAATTAGCATTACAGAAAGAAAGGACACTACCAAGATCTGTTGATATTGATTGTGAATTATGTTTATCCCAAACAATGAGACATCTAAAACATTTAAGTTAAGACTTATAAATCTAAATAGCTTAATACAGTGTTGTAGTTTTCCCACATGTACATTTGGGATAGGAACAAAAGAGTTGTCTCTTTTTTTAACCTGGTGATGAATCTTAGTTGTCTCAAGTGGTTAAACCAATAGTCATATACAAGTGAATACTTTGTGCAAACCTATATTTGATGAGCTGTTGACCTTACCCTTCAGTTACAAGAATTGTGCTTAATTAAGCATACTTTTAAGAGTCTAAGTGCCCCATAATTCTTAGTCACCCTTAATTCTTAAATTAAGTTTATACCCTTTTCTTATATTTTTTATTTTATTAACCTTATTTATTTTTCTGCTTTTGTTTTTTGTTTTCCCAAGTTTCTATAAAAACCTTTGCAAAGTCATTTTTTGAAAAAAATATAAGGCTACACTTTTTACTATCTTTGATAGTGTCCTTTTAACTGTGTCAACTAACTATTATTGTTTTTTATAATCCATCAAACATCAGAGGTACTTGCCTTTTTGATACTAAAATAGGCTTTTAAAATCTGCTGTCTGAGAAACTAGTAATTTTAAACTGGCAGAGAACATCATGTCTGGAAAGTATAGAGTGAAAATTTCACAAGAAACAAACATAAACACAGATATTTTTTGAGCACATCTGTGTTATATAATTTGCCAATAACTACTTCTCTATTGAATATATATATATATATATTTAAATTATTGGAACAAAATAGAAAGTCTCAGTTATATTTCAGCTATATTTGTACTGCAACATTTTTAAGACTGAAAAATATAATATTCATAGGAATCCTTGTAAATCATCAACACCCAGATTGGACTTTGCTGTTTCAGCAAAGGATGCAAATTCTTTTAAATCCTACCACGTCTCCATAATTTTAGGCATACCGTTAATAGAGCAATACTTTTCTTTGTACATTCAGGACTGGAAGCCTGTTACACAACATCATGCCTTGAAACTTCCCATTTTCATATCATCAGAGGAAGTGGAAATGGCAGGGTAAGAGCTTCTACTGTTTAAGAAGCACATGCTCAAAGGCCCTTGAACAAGTGGGACCTCTTGATTATAATCTGAATCCTAGCAATGGAAAGCCAGTTTGGTCTTGTGGCTAGAAAGCAGGAGACCATGAGTTCAAGTCCCATCTTAGTCATGAAAGCCGTGAATGACTGTTGACCAGTCATTCTCTCTCAGCCCAATCCACCTCATATGTTTGTTGTTGTGAAGAAAATTGGAGAAGGAAAGTGTGTTTGCTGCCTTGAGTTAGGTAAAAATAATAAAAAGGCAGAATACAAGTAAATAAATACCACAGACTGGATTGTGTCAAGGCCAAATCAATGTGAGGTTTTTTATGTCTACAATATTGTTAAAAGATTGTAGATCGAGCTACAGTATTGACCTATTTTTATAGGGATTATTTAGCTCTATGTCTTGTGTTTGCCAGTTTTAAATGGCTAGTTCTGACAGCCAATGTCCATAATTTTGCTACCATTTGTCTAAAAAGTGTCAAAAGGGCAAATCTGTTCATTCTTCACAGTTGTATTTCCTTTTTGTTCCTATGAAGTCCAGCATAGGTCAATAGGAAATGCATCTCTTTTAATGTTCCTTTCAAACTGCCTGATATTTGACTTAAACCAGAAGCCGTCATTCACTGTGATTATTTGTCTGAGTCTTAAATTCATATGGTCTGCTTCAGAGCTTTGCATGATTTGTTTAATACCGTACATCCAAAGCAGATGTTAAGAGTGTGGGATCATTTAATGAATTACTCTTGTACTCCACAGGAATCAACAGAGAGTTCCAACACAACCATTGAAGATGAAGATGTAAAAGGTATAGTATGAAGAGATGTCGTATTTTTTATACAAATGTAACAGTTGCTCATGTTTGGTATCATTTGTTTAATGCACTAAGTAAAAAATTTCATTATCATGTTAGAAAAAAATTAATAGAATAGGGATAGGAGGTGGGATGCATCAACTCATCTGTCCGTATAACGGCATTTACATCACATCCAGAAGTTTGTTGACTTTAGAACTTTAGTAATTTATTTTCCCAGCAGATATATGTTGTTTCTGCTGTTTTAACTTTTATCCGCTAGCCCTGAACCTGAACACCCTACGTTAATTGACAGGTGTATTGTGGACAGGACTCCATGCCATAGTTGGGCTGCTTCCTCAGATTTCTTGGAATATATTTTGTCTCAGTTTCTTGGTTTCATAAGCTCTTCGGTTGCTACACTGTCAAAAAAAAATATGTTTCTTATTTAAATGGTTATTTAAATGTATAGTATTTGTGAAAGTATTCCCATGCTGCTTTCTTCTACCAGCTAAGTGCATCCATTTGCATCCCAAACTTTTCAACAGAATAATGTTCTCTGAAACAGTTTGAATGATATAATAAAATCTCAGATAAAGTCTCGTCATTGGTCATGTGACCTGGTTTCACTGTTTGGCCTGGATTTCTGTTAAATTAAAAGTAAATAAGTAGAGTATATTATAGATAAATTATTGCTGCATTTATGGTCAGATATATAAACTGTCCACACTTTTCCATTTTATACCTTTTCAATTGAGTTAAACCAGCAGTCCATGACTTACAACTGGCCATTTGAAGTTCTGATGGACCTGCATGGTGGATACTTATGATAGAAGTTCCAATGGTTCCCCCCTCCGCCCATGCACAGTCACATGACTGCAATTTGAGTGCTCACAACCAGGCAGCATTTACGGCTCTTTGCATCATCTCATGGTCATGTGACCATATTTTATGATGCTTTTGTCAAAAACTGGTATTTATTTCTGGTTTTCAGCAAAACCACACCCATAGTGAATGATTGGTTTCCTGAATGTCTGTGGTATTTACTTAACAATTGCTGCAAAAAAAAAAATGTGTAAAATTGAGTCAGTCACGTGATATATAAATATCTGAGTAAGCCAACATCATAGTTACAATTGTGATGTATAGGCTCCATTACAGTCATAATTTGAGGACTACCTGTAGATAGATATATAACCATGGCTGCTATTCCCATTAATTCTACTTTTTGGGAGCCAGTTGTGAAGTTGGAAATTGAGGGCAAGTGACTATGGGATAGTGTAATAAATGCATGCCAGTGCAAAACACACCTAGATGGTGATCACCATGGGGCACCATGACCATGGGGCACTGAGATGGCCATAAATGCAAGGATTGGGTGGAAAACGTCTTTTCTTTTTTTCAAACATCATAACTTTGAATTTAGACTGACAAGGCAGTCTGTAAACTGTGAGCCAGTGAGAGCAATTAACCAATGGAACAGCTTGCCTTCAGAAATTGTGGGAGCTTCATCACTGGAAGCTTTCAAGAAGAGACTGGACTGCCATCTGTCAGAAATGGTGTAATGGTCTGCTTGGGTGGGGGGGGTTGGACTAGATGACCTGCAAGGTCCCTTCCAACCCTGTTAATCTGTATTGTATCTAATCAGTGTCAGGTGCAAGCGAAGAGATGAGATAGCAAGACCAAATCGAGTTCCACCCTTTATTTTCTTATACCTAATAGACAGAATCTTGCCAAACTAAAGCTATAATTCTTACCTACTAGATACATCCTGAAATATTCTAATGTATGACTACCCTGAATCTTGGGAATAGCACAGTCCCCTCCCCCCCCGCTCCAGATTATGCAGTCTCTTAATCTGGATCTCCTACTGGGAAAGCTCTGTCTTGCCAAAAGTTTTCCTTCTAGTCTTGCAAGTGCAAGGTCTGACAGTTACATCATATCAAAGACTTGTATAGATACAGATGCAGACATAGATAACAATATACCATATTTTTCAGAGTATAAGAAGCACCTTTTTCCCCCCTAAAAGGGGGTGAAAATTTAGGTGTATCTTATACATCGAATGTAGCCCCGCCCACCCACTGGCCCCCACCCTTTGGCCTCTGCCTCGCAGCAGTTACCTCCTTGCAAGCAAACAGAAAGAAAAAAACAGCTCTTTCAGCTTCAGCACAGATTAATTAGCACAAGTTGATTGGATCGGCCTCCCGACTCTCAGCTGATTTGCTCTCAGCTGTTTTGCGCAGGGCTCTGTTGCTTGCTGCAAAGAGATAAATTGCTGGAGCAGATTTTTTTTTCCTTGTGCTAATCAAGCTATGCTGAAAACAAAAATGAAAGTAATGCAGGCTGTTTGCTGTTTGCTGCAATGAGGCAAAATTGCTCAGAGGGAGAGCAATTTCTTTTTCTTCTTTTCCTCACCAAAAAAGATAGATGCATCTTATACTCAGGTGCGTCTTATATTCTGAAAAATACGGTAGATATAGCTATATGAAGCATTTTCAAAAATAAAACCTGTTTAGATGCTAGTATTTGAAGCTTTCTGGGTAATTTTTTAAAGTCTTGATTGACTCCTTTTTATAGCATGCTTTCAAAATAATTCAGGTATGAATGGAAGACTCTGGCCATTTGGACATTAGCACACACCCTCATTAGGGAATGATGGAAAATCATAACTTAACAACTTAAACAGCCATCAGTTCCGTACATTTATTCTAGAGCTAAGATCCATCCAAAATTAAATGGCTGAAGAAGACTTTGCCATGTAAGTTCAAAGGCATATTTTTCTAGATGGAGCACTCCTTTGTAAATAGGGTTGGATGTTGGCTCATCATTTCAGAACTAGTTCCTTGAATACCTTCAATAACGACAGAATTCTAACCTACTGCTTTCACTGGAAATACAGGGATACAGTCAGAGATACATTCATCCTGAATGATATAGCACAGTGAAACATCATTTGTATTATGTCATAAATTGCTTTATGATATGAAATTAATTAATGTCATAAAATGTTTTATAAAATTTGCCAAATTCCATGGGAATCATTGATCCGAGATTTTGGACACATTCTGTAAATTAGCTCATTTGAAGTATAACCCTAACCCTAACCCTAACCTGTGGTGCACTATTTCACCCGGGAAAAGATTACAGGAATCAGGGTTTTAGTAATATTTATTTTATTTATTTATTTATTCGATTTGTATACCGCCCTACTCCCGAAGGACTCAGGGCGGTGAACAGCCAAACAATAAAATAACATAGACATAAAAAATTTAAAAACCAGATAAAATCAAATTAAATTATTTTGGCCCAGACAGATTAAAACACCCCAATAATTTAAAAACAGATTAAAATTTACATATTTAAAAGGGAAGAGATTAGGCCAAGCCCGCCTGCTGGAATAAAAAGGTCTTCACAGCGCGGCGGAAGGTGCGCAGATCCGGGATCCTCCGTATCTCCAGGGGGAGCTCATTCCAGACGGTAGGTGCCCCCACAGAGAAGGCTCTCCCCCTAGGGGTCGCCAGCCGACATTGTTTGGCTGACGGCACCCGGAGGAGACCCTCTCTATGAGAGCGTACTGGCCGGTGGGAGGCTATTGGTGGTAGTAGGCGGTCCCGTAGATAACCAGGTCCTAAGCCATGGAGCGCTTTAAAGGTGGTAACCAAAACCTTGAAGCGCACCCGGAAGACCACCGGGAGCCAGTGCAGCTCGCGCAGGAGAGGTGTCACATGGGAGCGCCACGTCGCTCCCATTACCACCCGCGCGGCCGCACTCTGCGCCAGTTGGAGCCTCCGGGTGCTCCTCAAGGGGAGCCCCATGTAGAGAGCATTACAATAGTCCAGGCGGGAGGTGACGAGGGCATGAGTGACCGTGCGTAACGAGTCCCGATCCAGAAAGGGACGCAACTGGCGAATCAGGCGAACCTGATGAAAAATCCTCCCGGTCACGGCCGTCAAGTGCTCTTCTAAAGACAGCCGTGAATCCAGGAGGACGCCCAAGTTGCGAGCCCTCTCCGTGGGGGCCAATGATTCGCCCCCAATAGTCAGTGATGGCGTCAACTGCCTATATCGGGACGTCGGAAACCACAGCCACTCGGTCTTGGATGGGTTGAGCCTGAGCCTGTTCCTCCCCATCCAGATCCGTACGGCCTCCAGGCACCGGGACATCACTTCAAGGGCATCGTTGGGGTGATCCGGGGTGGAGATGTACAGCTGGGTGTCGTCAGCGTACTGATGGTACTCCACCCCGAAACCACGGATGATCTCGCCCAGCGGCTTCACATAAATGTTGAACAGGAGAGGCGAGAGGACCGACCCTTGCGGCACCCCACATATGAGGGGCCTCGGGGTCGACCTCTGTCCCCCTGTCAACACAGACTGCGACCGGTCAGAGAGAAAGGAGGAGAACCACCGCAACACAGTGCCTCCCACCCCCAACTCTTCCAACCGGTGCAGCATGATACCATGGTCGATGGTATCAAAAGCCGCTGAGAGATCTAACAGGACCAGGACAGAGGAGCACCCCCTGTCCCGAGCCCTCCAGAGATCATCAACCAACGCGACCAATGCCGTTTCCGTGCTGTACCCGGGCCTGAAGCCCGACTGGAACGGATCCAGATACGTCGTTTCATCCAGGTGCTGGGGGAGCTGTTGCGCAACCACACTCTCAACAACCTTCGCCACAAAACGAAGTTTGGAGACCGGACGATAATTTACCAACATTGCCGGGTCCAGGGAAGGCTTCTTGAGGAGAGGCCTCACCACCGCCTCTTTCAAGGCGGCAGGAAAGACACCCTCACCCAACGAAGCATTTATAATCCCCTGGAACCAGCCTCGTGTCACCTCCCGAGAAGCCAGCACTAGCCAGGAGGGACACAGGTCCAATAAACAGGTGGTCGCGTTCAGTCTACCCAGAATCCTGTCCACGTCCTCAGGGGTCACAGGATCAAACTCATCCCAGATAACATTCTCAAGACCTGCCCCAGTCCCTCCCCCTGAGACTACCCAGTCGGAGTCCAGATCTTCCCGAATCTGAGTGATTTTGTCATACAGATACTGAACAAAATCCTCGGCTCTACCCTCCAAGGGGTCCTCCCGCGCTTCCTGGTGGAGCAGGGAGCGGGTCACCCTAAACAGGGCGGCCGGGCGATTATCTGATGACGCAATAAGAGCAGCAAAATAGTTACATTTCGCTGCTTTTATTGCCACTAGGTAATTCCTAATATGAGATCTTACCAGTGTCCGGTCAGATTCAGAAAGACTGGCCCTCCAACTGCTCTCTAGGCATCTTTTCTGGCGCTTCAACTCCCTCAGCTCCTCAGTGAACCAAGGAGCTAAATGAGATCGGCGCCGGGTCAGAGGCCGCAAAGGCACGACTCGGTCCAGAGCTCCAGCGGCCGCCCTATCCCAGGCGGCCACTAGGTCTCCAGTCGAGGCGTGTGCCAGAGCCTCAGGGAATGGCCCAAGCTCCATCTGGAACCTGTCAGGTTCCATCAGGCGCCTGGGGCGGAACCATCTTACCGGCTCCGCCTCCCTGCAGCGGGGTGTAGCGGTTCGAAGGTCGAGACCAAGGAGAGAGTGATCAGACCATGACAAGGGCTTGATGACTATATCCCCTATCTCGAGATCACTCAACCACTGTCCAGAGACAAAAACCAGATCCAGCGTGTTTCCCCCCGTGTGGGTAGGGAATTAATATGTAGATATGCATTACAGGTAGCTGATACGGAGAGAAAGTGTAGGAAAAAGAAGAATTAAGAAGACCGTCTCATACTGATAATGGCTTCCTGGGCAAGTTTTTTTTTGTTTTTGTTTTTAAATCCTAAATTCTGAGATACTGTATCTTACCACCAGGGGTGGGTTCTATTTATCTTAAATAAAAATAAATAAATAAATAATTTTATTTCTATACCGCCCTTCTCCCGAAGGACTCAGGGCGGTGTACAGCCAATTTAAAAACACAACACACAACAATAATTAAAAATTAAAATAATTACATAGATTTGGCCGATTTAAAACCCCAAACATCTAAAATACCCCAATTAAAATTATTAAGTTGATAGCCCTGCCTGGCGGAACAACAGGGTCTTCAGTGCGCAACGAAACACTCGGAGGTCGGAGATCTTGCGTATTTCCGGGGGCAGTTCATTCCACAGGGCTGGGGCTCCCACAGAAAAGGCCCTCCCCCTGGGTGTCGCCAGCCGACATAACTTGGCTGATGGCACCCTGAGGAGACCCTCTCTGTGGGAGCGGACTGGTCGGTGGGAGGCTATTGGTGGCAGAAGACGGTCTCGAAGGTACCCGGGTCCTATGCCATGGAGCGCTTTAAAGGTGGTAACCAACACCTTGAATCGCACCCGGAAGACCACTGGGAGCCAGTGCAGCTCGCGCAGGAGGGGTGTCACGCGGGCACAACGAGTTGCGCCCATAACCACCCGCGCGGCCGCATTCTGGACCAGTTGGAGCCTCCGAGTGCTCTTCAAGGGGAGCCCCATGTAGAGAGCATTACAATAGTCCAGCCGGGAGGTGACAAGGGCATGAGTGACCGTGCGCAAGGCGTCCCGGTCTTTACTACCAGTTCGCAACGGGAGCTTCTGCGCATGTGCAGATCGCTGATGATGACATCCGGGGCGGTGGGCAGGGCCTCCCGCCTGTTTTACTATTGGTTCTTGCAACCTACCACTGCTCACCATTTGTATGATTGATTGATTCAGTGCAAGATTTTCTCAACAGTGACAAATTTCATAAATATTAATGTTGTGCCTATCCTTAGTTAAATGTATATTAGAAATTAGTCAGAATAAAAATGTAAAAAATATTTAAAAGGGGAGCCTTTCAGTATCTTCCTAAGCATGGAAAGACTGTATAACATAATGTAAACTATTACATCAATTATTTGTTTTGCAAGTCCTGGTTTTAGGGTTAGTGATGCCATTTAAATTTATTTTATAAGATTCAATATTATGCATTGGACTTCATCATTATAGCCAGAGTAGCCTGGACAAAACATATTCTGACAGGCCCAATATAAACCACTGTGAATTCTAAATAATAATATGACTGCAGGTAGTTCGTTTAAATAGGCATATTATGAAATTGAGGAGAGGCTCCTTTTAAGTGAGTACCTGCAAGTTCTCTGCACCCTGACTTAATTTTCACCCAATAATCTTTCGTTCATTTGATAAAGGTGGCCCTATGTCTAAAAACAGTAGAGCTTGAAGCCCAGAACTAAAAACTAAAAACAAAATCTTATTAAATGGATGGGGAATACCACATTAGTTCCTTATTATGAAGCATAATAGAATTCTGTATTGAATGTTAATCTCTGCTACAAACTTCAGAAATATCCGTGGGCAGGAAAATGTGAAGCATTTTAAATGAGAGAAAGCAGCGCGTTCCAGAAAGGGATTACAAAGCAATCACTAGCTTTGTGAACCAAAAGGATCACATTCCTAAAGTATATAGAAAACATTAGTATGTAACTTTCTTCTTATTAGATGGATATTGCAGCCCTTTTCTTTTCTAGATGGTGTTGTTGATTCGGAAAACATCTGTGAAATGGATGGGGCTAATGAGGATGCTCTACCCAGCATCCATAACCAAACTTTGGACACAAAGGGAGAGTGAAACCTCCCCCAGGAAAGCAGGTCTGTGTCTTGCTCAGGTAGCAATACTTGAGCTGCGCCTCATTTCCCAAGTATAGGTAAAAAAAATTACTTCAGTGAGTTCAAATGTAGGATTGTTTGTTTATTAGATTTATATCCTGTCTTTCCTCCAAGAGCTCAAGGTAACATACATACCATCTCTCCCTTTGTGCTCCACACAGAAACTAACCCTGTGAAGTGATTCAAGCTAAGACAGGGGTGTCTAACTCGCGGCCCGCGGGCCAGATGCGTCATGCGCTGGCCACCCCCACCCCCAGTTTAGCGAAGGGGGGAAGTCACGATACGTCACGTGATGTCAACATGACGCTGCGAGTTTGACACCCCTGAGCTAAGAGATCCAGAGTCCTCTCAATGAGCTTTTATGACTGGGGATACATTGAGTAGACCTCAGATTCCAGAATCTGTTTGAAATCTAAATTATTTTTTTAACCTTCCCATTAACTCCTTGATTTCTTTCTCCACCCCCCAAAAAAGGAAAGCTTTGTACTGTACTGAGAATGAAAGAAAAGCAATGGTTGGAGGCTTTCTATGACTCCGAATCCTTCCTGGTGTAATTAGCTGTAAACTGCAAGCACCAATCCTTTCTCGCAAAGGATAACTCACGGGATATCCTTTCCCATTTTCTTATTTTACCACGATTTGTTTCTCAGAGTAAGGATTTCTTTGCTGGTAAAATGGAGGGAAATGGCAGAAAAGAAAGAGAGAAGGGATGTGATGCTGACTCCTACCATTTTTAATCAAACTCATTCCTTGACTTGAGTTGATTTCATCAGGAGCATGTTCTCATTTTTCTGTTTTTGAACAGCGATTGCGTTAGAGTCTAAGACATGATGTTACAAAAGAAGAAATGCTTAAAAATTATAGTCGGTATTAAAAATAACTGGTTGATCACAGAAGAAACCTATCCCAGAAATGCACATGCGGTGTCTTCTCACTCATAGTGTCACTAATTTAAAGACGGTGATAAAAAAATGGCCTCTGCACTGCCAGCCAGCAATTTTATAGTGAATCTAGAATATGAGGGAGTATAAATTTTGGGCTTTTGGGCTCCCCCAAAATCTTGCTGTTGCATTTGAACAAAAGTACATGGAGCAGACTTTTTCCATGACAGTGATCCCGTATCTGTAATCAAGATTCATGCCAAATGGAGAAGTAGGATTTACATGTTTGGGAAAGGATAATTATTTATTTACCTGTGGCCAGGTGCCAATTATTCTAATGTAACTGTTACAATTGAAGAGATACTCATATCCATTAGTACATTTGAATAAAAGATATACAGTAACTTTATTGGTTTTCATTTTAGGGAATGAAGTGTTTGCGTTTTCACTAAGCATGCATTGAATCTCAGGAGGATCTTTGCTTCTTAGGAAATTGAAGAGAGAATCAGCTATCTTAATACTCTTGCCAGTTCATTACTGAATGAATTGCTTGAAGCTCCAGAAATGTGAAAGCCAGATCACTGTACAGAGAATTGTTCATGCTGTTTAAAAGCAACATAAAAATATTCACATGCGTTAAAAAGAGTCCCTGGCTTCTTTTTTGTAGTAAGCAATGTCAGAATAATCTGTTTTTCAAAGTTAAATATTTCTTATGAGTTTTTTTCCTAATGAAATTCAAAACTGTTTACCAGTAATCAAATTATAGTTTTAATGCAATGAATCTTAAGTCAATTTTCAACCAAATATGTGGTATGAAAATAGCCTATCATATTCATTTACAATTGTCCAAAGTTAGTTTATTTTCCCCAGCAATTTAGAACAGGGGTCTCAAACTCGATTTCATTGAGGGCTGCATCAGGGTTATGTTTGACCTCAAAGGGGGGGGGGCTGGCCTGGCCAGGCTCTGTTTTCGCTAGCAGAGGGTTGCAGGAGGCCGTCATGGCTAAAAATGGAGCCTAAAAGTTCCGTTTTCTCTGGCAGAGGCACCGGGGCCAGTGCTTTGCTGTTTCCAGGACAGTCCTGCGGCCCAGAACTAAGCACCCTGCAGGCCGAATCCAGCCTGCGGGCCTTGAGTTTGACACTCCTGATTTAGAGGATGTTATACTGCAGATGGGTGACCTAGATTGCAACTCTTATGGACTTCATATATGACAAGAAAGAGCTCATATTCTCGTAAATTTACTGTACCTGCTTAATTTCATGAATATGCCTGCTTATTGTGGTTTCTTGTCAGATGGGATGTTTGTATATGGAGACGCTTTCTAAGAAGCATTCTAAGATGCTTCCAATCAGCAACGAACAATTGATTCTCCTCTCCCCCAAAAAAGTATAACCTGATAAGGGCTGATAAGCAACTCAGAAAAAATGCAACCCCAACCTGCAACAGGACCTACTGAAATATGGGAGCTAAAAGTGAGAAAATGCGTAGCCAAGGAATATGATTCTCAATCCTTTAAGGGGAGAACTAGAGAAAGAACTATGTTGTGACAATTGAGAAAGGGGGGGGGAGGGAAATACTATATATAACCTTGTTGAGTAAGGTAACTAATATCCTTGTCACTTGTCATATATACGCAAAATTTTTAGATGTCCAAAGGGTTTGGCTTATACACAGATAATATACACTATTAATTATACATAAGTATATACAGTAGGTTTTTCCCTCAGCTTTTAAAAATATATTCCAGACATACTCACAGAAAGCCTGTCTCTGGATAAGCTAACCCTCAAAATTTTAACTATTGTACCCATAAATAAGACAAATGTGAAGATTAAAACATTAAAATTCAAAAGGTGGGCTTATCCACCTTTCATGATACTTTGGTTAAAAAGTCAAGGGTTGGATTGTCCATGGATGGGCTTATATGCAGATATGGATTGCATACTGTAGGAAGGTAAAATTGTATATAATAGGCTTAATACACTGGGGGTGTATAGTTTGTATAATTAATGTCTTATTGCAAATATGAGAGAGTACTCTGCCTTCTGGTATGTGGTTTAAACCATACCTTAACCAGAAGTTCTCAAATTTTCTTGGTTCATGCTATTTTTAATGTCTCAGTAAATTTTTTACAATGCCTCTATGGCAGAACTTGGAATTAACTTCAAGCTAATTGTCCATGTGGTATCCAACAAATAATGAGTATTATGTTTCATGAACTCTTTCTGTATAAATATAAAAGATACATAATACACATTTCAAAAGGATAGAGTTTATCTAAATGATCTATAGTATAGTTTAGCAATACCAAGAAAATTTTTGAAGCTGTAATGGAAATAAAATCTCATGAGTTTGAGCAAGATCAAAGAACAGAGGCATTATCAGCAAAAGTAAGAAAAGCAGTTGGATTCAAGATTAGAATGGAAAATCAAGAAAGACTGGATTGTTTCAATTTAGAGCTTTATATTTAAAAATTGAGAAAATAACTTTCAACAAGAAAGGTAACAAATTCCAACACATAAAACATATTATGTCTATTTATTCCCTTATTATGGTCTCCATTTGAATTGGGCAGGCGTAATCTTTATAATAACTAATAATTCTCATGTTTGGAGGCCTTTTTCAGATCCATTCTGTTGTTATGGTTATCATCACCACTGTTGTTATTTTCTAGCCATTCAGTATGAATAATGAGCTAAATCTTGCTTCTATTCCTTCCAAATTTTAATTGTGTTTCACAATGTTCTGTTTGGATGATGGAGGGAAGTTCTCACTTTACTGGATTTCATATTTGGAAGTAGCAAATATAATTGTTTTTGAATCAGCATTCTTCTAAATATTGACTGAGTAAAAGAGCTTAACTTCTTGGTCAGCTCTATTTATCTAGTTGGGCTGCAGTTGCTACTTTGTAAGTTTGAAAATTGTTTATGGATTAATGGACTTTCATCCATTGAGATTGCTTTTGTTTTTGAATCTGAGTTATTAATGATTAAATATACATATCTTAAAGCCTTTATTGAAATATCTGTGTGTATGCCAAGTGCCTACATTATAAGCAGTGGTGAAATTAAATTTTTTTTTACTACCGGTTCTGTGGGCGTAGCTTGGGCGTGGTGTGGCTTGGTGGGCGTGGCTTGATGGGTGTGGCAGGGGAAGGATACTGCAAAATCTCCATTCCCACCCCACTCCAGGGGAGGGATACTGCAAAATCCCCATTCCCTCCCCATTCCTGGAGGAAAGATATTGCAAAATGTCCATTCCCACCCCACTCTGGGACCAGCCAGGGGTGGTATTTTCTGGTTCTCCGAACCACTCAAAATTTCCGCTACCAGGTCTCCAGAACCTGTCAGAACTTGATGGATTTCACTCCTGATTATAAATATTTTTATGGTGCTGTTAGGGGTACAATGTTGACACCAGATGTACTTTTGTGAAAAAAGGACTCTATAGAGTTAGGAGACCCCCCCCCCCCCACACCCCCCCACAGAAGGCTGTCTCTTTTATGGATAAATTGACTTTTCTTTCAGAAAGAACAGAGAGAAAATATTTCTCTAATGTCTGATTAGAGGTCAGGTTGATGCAGAATGAGACACATTCCATGGGCCCTTGGCTTTTAACATGCACACTGGTCCAGACTCCAAACATTACACTTTCTGTTCCTTGTTTATCCCATTGGTGCTTTTTCAATAGGCAACTTGTCTTTCAACATTGAATCAACATTGATTCCGTCCTCCTTGTCTTGTTTTAAAATATATTGAATGAGAGTTATAAGTTTGCCTGCCTGTTTGCATTTTCTTCCTGAACAGTTTTGCAGGATTTAGGGGAGAAAGTCATCTGAAAACTAAGGAGGAATGGAAGGTATCTGATTACACTTGAGGAAAATGTACCTTCTCTTGGGAGTGAGAAAACTCACTCTGTATAGCAGTCCTTCTTAGAAATTGCAAAGGGAAATATTAGTACTTTCTCCTGTTGTGGGTAAGATGATTTGTGTGCTATCAGCAGTCATAACTAATGTTACTGCACTCAGTTTACATATGAATGATTATGATCTAACATTATTCCTATTTAAATTTAAAAATGCAAATGATTGCTCCAATTAAAGGATCCCATGGAAGAGAGTAAAGATTAAGATTCGACAAAGTATTCAATCTTGCTCTATTTTGTGTTTTTATGTAATTGATAGATAGACAAACATCAATTTAAATCATAGTTTAACCTATGGTTAAACCTGTTCATGTGATATGAAATTAAGGACAGTTTCAAAAAATGCCACTTAACCCACTCTTGAAATTACAAAGAGAATAAAAACAAATAACCTGCAAGAAGTATCAGAAGGATATTCTGTCAAACAGGTGGAACTCATCAAAGGATTATTCATATTATGTCCACACTTTTAAATCCCCTCTGAATGGTTCTGAAGCTGCAAAATTCACTGAAGGCAAAAAAATAAATAAATGGATAAGCCCATAGCTCTCCAACTCTTGCTTCTGATCCGTGCTTCCGATTTGTCCATACAAAAATATGTATAGAGGCCAGTCCATTGCACAAAATTGGATGCAACTCAACTTTTGGCTGTATTAACAGCAAAGGATGAGGAGACTGCAGAGGCTGTCTGAATGTGTCATCATCATCTTTTAATGACCTCATAATCCCTTGCAGAGTGGAGTTTGGGCAACTGAATGGAGCTGAGTGTTTACTGGCCAGATGCCCTTCCTGTAGCCAATGAGGAGTTATATTCAGCAGATATATTTTCATCGTGCCCAGAGAGAGAAATAACTGCCTCTACCTAGGATCGAACTCACAGCCTCCTGATTATGAGGCGAGAGCTCCACCTCTAGGCCACTGCACCACTCAGGCTGTCTGAATGCATGACAATCATAATTCAAACAGAGACAACTCCATGATTGAGACTGTTATTCATACAGTCTTTTGTTCCATTGGCTTTCATTTTATATTTAATCTTGTCATCGTACATGTTTCTTTCTTGTCTCCAGCTCGTAAACAAGAGATCATCAAGGTTACTGAGCAGCTGATAGAAGCTATCAATAATGGGGATTTTGAAGCCTACACGTAAGTTGCTTTCTGCTCCCTGTTCTGCTTTTTCTTAGTGGGATATCAGTATAATATTAGACTATATTTTCAGCAACTGGTTATTGTAACGAGGATGTGGTTGCAGTTCTCTTGATCGTATTGAGAAGAAAAAAATTGTCATATTGGAGATAGGGAACCCTTTTGTGGTCAGCAAGTATTGAGGGTACTGATAAATCAGCTCATAATTTAAGTTTGTATCACACTTGTGGACAGAGATTGGCTTTTTCTGCTTTCAGGGAAGAGAAGTTAAATAATTCTTACTTTTAACTGTTTGAAGTTTCCATATATTTTCCACCACAGATTGGTAAGAAACCACACAACCAGGATTGTTAGATGGTGTTCAGCATAAAGATTTTCATATGTTTAATACAATTCCTAAACGTACTCTAGACAGTGACATGTGATCTGTGCAATGTTTATCTCAGCTTATTTATATCATCAAAAATTAGGGAGAAAAGAGAGAGGTGGGTCAAAGGTGCAATAGAACGTTCTTGGAACAGTTTCATCTAGTAGCCTCCTTAGTGTTTCATGTTGCAGAAATGCATGCATTAGTGCACGGGTATCAAACTCGCGGCGACATGTTGCCATCACATGACATATCATGACGTTTCTTTCCCCCTTGACGGAGCTGGGGTGGACAATAAGCCTGTGTGTGATGCATCTAGCCTGTGGGCCGCCAGTTTGACACCCCTGCATTAGTGGGAGATGGACGGGCCACCTGAAGGCAATCCTAACTAAGAACAGCTACCTCAGAGCTGGCTTCAACTATGACATCAGTTGTGTGTTAATGATAGAAAGGAGTAGGAAAGACACAAGGAGAGCTCTGTTTCAAGGAAAAGCTAGTGCCTTAAAGCTGTGGTTCTCCAAGGGGATCACAAGAAATTCAGGATTTCAGGAACTGACACTACTGTATGTAAGGTGTCTGCAGACTACATATGAAATGTAGGCTTACCAGATTCAGCATGTACATGATGGCTTTTCATTTTTGTCACATAATGTGTATAGGAGATTTATTTTTCCTTTGCTCTGTAGGAAAATCTGCGATCCTGGCCTTACCTCATTTGAGCCTGAAGCTTTGGGAAATCTTGTAGAAGGGATGGATTTCCACCGGTTTTACTTTGAAAATGGTATGCTGTTACCTGATGTTTATGACTTTTGAGCCAAACTTTTAGATTATTGCTACAGCAGCAGTGCTGAAAACCGGCCTGCGCATCGTGCCGGCCAGCTGATTGTTGGGGCGCAGGCGCGCTAGAATCCAGAAGTTCAGTTTTTCCTGAGCGTGGCCCCGACGAGCACACACACGCAATGTTTCCGCATGACCTTTTTGGTACACAGTGCTGAAAAGGTTCACCATCACTGACCTATGATCTTGTCAATGAAACCAAACCAAAAAACAGTTTTTATTGTTCTCTTTGCTCCTTCAAACTGCTATATCTACAGGGGTTTAGGGGGTGGGGAGAAACCCAGTTTCAGAATAGTGATCATCAGATGTTTGGAATTTTAGAGCCCTAAAGTTGAAACCTATTTGCTATCAGTTACTATATGTAAGTATCCTAGGAAATAAATTTGGACTTTGTTTTTTGATAAGTTTTAAGTCTATACCGATCTCTCTAAAGGAGAAAAACAAAAAAATAAATAAGATGGCAGGAACTGCAGACTCGTTCAGTTGAAGAATTTATGATTTGTTGTAGTAATGGCATATTTCACAGCAGCAATACTGTTCAGGGCACGTGAGAAATGTTTTAGGTTGCAACAGGTAGAAAATATTTTAAAATGTCACAGATCCAATTTTGATCCTCACCTAATTTGGTCAAGAATTAATGTTTTTAACTACCTCCCTATGTAATTAAGATCTCCTGTCCCAATAAACAAACATTGCTGTGTGATATATTCATTGGTGCATATACTCTGAACACAATCCATAGAATGTTAGATAAGTTTATCAGTGGCTTTTCAGAATTACTATTTATTTGATTCTAAAAGGGACCTGATGATCTGGAGCAGGGGTGAAATCCAGCAGGTTCTGACAGGTTCTGGAGAACCGGTAGCGTAAATTTTGAGTAGTTCGGAGAACCAGCAAATACCACCTCTGGCTGGCCCAAGAGTGGGGTGGGAATGGGGATTTTGCAGTATCCTTCCCCTACCACGCCCACCAAGCAACATCATTCCCACCAAGCCACGCCCACAGAACCGGTAGTAAAAAAAAATGGATTTCACCACTGATCTGGAGTGCAACAGTTTTGTGCATTAAGGGTTTAGACGTCATATGTCTTTCCTTCCACAGCTTTGTCGAAAAGCAACAACAAGCCAGTCCACACCATTATCCTGAATCCCCATGTCCATCTGGTAGGGGATGATGCTGCCTGCATTGCATATATCCGACTGACACAATATATGGATGGAAGTGGAATGCCCAAAACGATGCAGTCAGAAGAGACAAGGGTTTGGCACCGCCGTGATGGAAAATGGCAAAATGTTCACTTTCACCGTTCAGGATCACCAACAGTACCTATCAAGTGAGTAATGGATTCATGTCCCCTCATTGCAGCTTTTCTGCTGTCAAATAAATAAAGCCCCATATTTGCATCACCAGTGATTTGCATATTATTTTTCACTAAGGCTCTGCCTTAAGCAGCTCACCACATTAAAGAATTGAAATAAATAGATTGTAATAAAATCAGGTTTACTTCCATAGCAGGAATGCAGTGTTGTTTTGTATAAAATAAGTCACCCTGACTCAGTGGGAATTAACAGAATTAGGGGCATATTGGATGTAGCCAAGCAGAAAAGATCACAAGAGTAATTTCCACTTTGTATCTTTCTTATATTTATCAAATTAGCTTTGGTAAAGATAACAGATTGTTTCTTAGAATTTGCTTCAGCAAATAGTCACAGATTCAAGAACAGAACTGAGTTGACTAGGCTGTAACAGATGAATGTTCTGATATTAATTTGGCTGTGGAAATAACTACAAATTATTACTTATTGTGTCAACAAAATGAACAAAAATCTGTGACCTCCATCTGTTTCATAGCTTTGGACTATTTTTAGAAAATTACTAAGCATACTATAACATAACCCTTCAAACCAAATATCCAAGTAAGTCTTGCCAGAAAGTACCATAAATAGAGGAAAAATCTTTGCAAAGATCAGTTGAGATTTAAGCTGATTAGGTTCAAAACTATGCAATGATTTTTCAAAACTATGCAACAATTTTATTATCTGAGCTTAGGTTGTTTTAATTAGAGTACAACATTTTGCTGAATAATCTTCCGATTCATTCCTGGCTTGCTAAATAATGTTCAGGAAGGACCTAACCTCAGTTCACACGTTTCTAATTTCTTATCGTAGTCAGGAAGTGGTGGGTTTACTATAATGTTGATTCAGAAATCACAATACCAATATTAATAAAATTGAATTGGTTGTCTGAATATGATGTAGATTATTACTCAATAATTATTAATGGCGCAAGATGCAAAAAAATTATTCTCTTGTACAATCTTAAATTAGTCTCTCCTAATTTTTTAAAAAAATAATATAATTATTTGAATAAAATATTTATATTCAATATCCGTATTTGAAGGAGAAAATAGGTTTGGCATTTGATTTGTTGGGTTTTTTTAATGAACAATAAAAATAATTAAGTTTATTTGAAAATTACTCCCAGGATTTAGCACAAAATAATTAATGAATTAATAATTAATTCCCTCTTTTTTTCCCCCTTTCTCTCTCTCTTTCTCTTTTCTTGTTGTCTTTTAGCTAAATGTCAGTGCCACCCACGTTGTGTCCACGCACTCCGCACTTGGTTGGCTCCCCCGGGCCATCCTTTGGCCCTCTTCATGCATGTTCTCCGAGTGCATGAAGCTGTGAAGTTTCTTCAAGTGATATGTTTATGATTGCATCATTTTGTTGTATATTCCATTGATAGCTTTTGTTTACCCTTCATTGAAGGAAATGTTTCATGGCAGATGGAAGGAGAGGTACAAGAATAAAGGGTAAAGGGAAAAATTGAAATGTGAGAGTATATTCAGATTATACATCTCCAGCAAAAATACAAATATCATCTGCATGTGCACCCTATAAAAACAAAGGTTAAAAATAATTAACTTTGTTTAATTTTTATTCTTTTCTGAGTCATTTGTTTTTAAAGGTTGTTGCCTAATCCTTGTGTTATAGGAGGATTAATGAATTTCCTACTATCAGCATCTTTAATGTAGGACGTATGGCAGACATAGTGACTTAGATCAAAGCATTTCTATAGGTTTGAGGTCTTGGGAAGTTGCCTTTGCTGTGATTCACTATGTATAACTGGAAAAAAAAAAGGATAAAATTTGCAGATTTGACTTCAACAAGAATAATTGTCACTGTGGTCATTTGTTCAGCAAATGTAACGGCAAATAGTTTTTTCTTCCTTTTCTAATTGCTTATTTAGCATCATTTTCAGGAAGAAAATATATAGCATTTCTAGCTTTCAGAAGCCAAACAGTGAACAGATTCAATGTAGCTTCTGATGATATAGCTTATGGGTACAATAAAACTTTTTTTAATCATTTTTTGGATGTACAGTACATTTATTAAAGCAAGATGTAGAGGATTTTTTAACTGATATTCTAATAAGATAATGTAGCAATTTAGAACAATTAGATCTTAAAAGCTTAGTATCAGGAGAAGTCTAAATTTTCTTTATATCAATTTATTACCAGGAAACACCTGTTTTCTAATAATGTTGTCAAATTTAACAGTAATTTATCCATTTTTCATGGCTCGTTGACAGCCTTGAAAGTATGAAATAAAATAGTAATTATAGATTTATTAATTTCTTCATTTTCCTACATGTCAAATGTCCCTCAAATGTCAATTACTGCATATATACCTGCAAAACAAGCAGTTAAAACACATTATTTGGATAATGTTTGTTTGCTTTTCTTGTATAAATATAACATATTTCCAATAGTACTGCTCCTTCTATTTCAGTTTTTTTAAAAAAATGTATTAATACTTTTCTTTCTTATTAAAGTATTTTTGTTTCATTAAGTAGGGCAATCAATTTTCTGTAACACTGTATAGCGCATGATATTTTGATTAATATTCTTTTTGGTAAGTAAAAATTTACAACTTATAACAGCTTGAAAAAATTTTTAAAGACAGAGAAAAAAAAAGTCCCAATTTGTATAACTTTCATTTCTCTATACTGATTATTAATCAAAAGTGGATCTTATTCTTTATACCTCGATGTTGTAAACATTATGTTAGAAAAAATTAAGCTTTTCTGGTGATAGTTATTACATACTTTCAACCCACAGAAGTATTTAGAACAATCATCAGTAAATGTCTCAAGCCATATTAATCTGCTAGTGGGATCTGTGAAAAGATAATGGCCTCATGCATAATTTTTATTAATAAATTTCTTCTTTTGTGAAGCAGATTTAGGTGGCATTAGTATATTTTTATGTTATGGAAATATGACATATAATTTTTTTACCCTTTTACCATAGCATGCGGTGATGCCACATTATTCTAGATCGTCTGTCTTCCACACTAAGATGTGAGAAATACAATGTGAGTTAGTTCTCAGCACTCCACCTGAATTATACATCTAATTTTTGCCATTTTAATACACTGCAGTTTACTATGAGACAGTGTATAGGTATTTGTGTGTTTATACATATATATGTCTCTCTCTGTGTACACATATATATGTGTATATACATATATATGTACATATATGTGTGTGTGCGTGTATCTATATATTGATATATTGATATAGATATATAGATATATATATATATCTCCTGCCATAATGGTAAAGAACTGACAGATATATTTAAGAATTAATAAATTTGTGATTTATGCTGACATTTGATGCTTCATTGTTTTCCTTTGAGATTGCAGGCTTCATCATTCGTTACCTATCATTTACTAGCGAAATGACCATTATCATAAAGGATTGAATGTATTGGGGCTAGGCAAGGTGATTTGAATTCACAATATTTTACATTGAAATAATAGTTGTTTTGAATTTAAAACAGGATATTCTCTCTTCCCAGAAATGTTCCTACACTCTTCTGTCCATTCCAGAAATATTTTGCACACCACTGTGTTATTTTACAAAAGTATCTGTAGTAGTACTCCAGTTTGTGGATAAAGAATCCATGTCATAAATCAGGGGTGTCAAACTCGCGGCGTCATGTGGCATATCGTGACTTTTTTCCCCTTTACTAAACGGGTGTGGGCATGGCCAGTGAGTGATGCATCCAGCCCATGAGTCGCGAGTTTGACACCCCTGTCATAGATTATTCTTGTTTTTTAAAAACCTTGTTTATTTCAAACAATTGCTATTAGTGGTGTTATTATAATGTACTGCCATCTAATAGCCTATCTTCTAGTAGGTGTTCCAAGAGTTGGTGTCAGAGCACTATAAGCCTAAAATGTGTTTTTTTGTTGCTCTATACTAATTATTCTGCACACTTTATTAGTGACTTCTATTGGGGTTAATTTTGTATAATATAAACAATGTAGGGCATTTTTCACTGCTGCAAAAATATCTGTGAATGCAGTGACCTATTCAAAGCTTGGCTGAATAGGTTTCAAGACAGCTACTGCAAGACAGGTATTTCCATACCAAAAGCTAATGAAAGCCAAGTTTCACTGATACTTTAATTGAAGATGATGTGCTATTTTTTTTTAAAAAAAAAGATTTAATTTTGTCATATGACTTGTTTTAATTTACCTATTAATTATATTTGCTACTTTAATTTTATATTTATATAGGAATAGCGGGTATATGGGAGGAAATGTGGTTTGCTTAGAAAAGATGGATAACGTTTCTGGTTAACTTATTCTAGTTTTCAGTTTTCAGAACCAGTATAGTGGTTCAGTGTGGTTCTAGTGGTGAACTGGCTCAGGTTTGAGTTCATCCTTAGCCATGAAGACTTAAATGATCTAACAAATAAAATTAAAAACAAAAACCATTATGCTTTAAAAAAAATAGGTCTTATGCCTCCTATATAGATTGGTTGATTTGATTTATATCCATCACAATTAAAAAGTTCATCCACTATTGCTATTCATCCATCAAAATACTATCAATGGTATAAATGGTAGGCTGAATTTGGCTGGATACAATACATGTAGTCTGATCTTTGGATTTTTCTCCAAGTGGAAATGACCATGATCCTACATGCTGGCATACATCATCTATAAGATCATTTACCACAACACCCCTGTTTTTATTAACAGCAATGGCAAAATTATTTTACTTTCACACTCAGCATTCATAAATTAATATTAATGAATCCATCTTTTTTTCATTTTGTTTTCACTCCTTTCCTGGCAGCCAATTGACTCCTTTATTTGATTCTTGTAGCTTGCCAAATGAATAATACATTGTTTTCTTTTCAGAATTTAGGGAGAATTTCTGCAAACACTTCATATCAAAACAAGTACTTGTAATGGGTTGCATTCAGTTTATGGCTGACACGAGTGTGGGAAAAATAATTTACAAAAAGGATCAGTTTTGAGGAGAGAATCAATGCAGAATTGCTTATGCTTAAATTGGTGGTCAATGTCATATTTTCCACTACAAATTTACATTCAATTTTCCTTTGGCCAGATAAATATGTTCTAAGCATGTCAGACCCATTTTTGGTCTTGTCCGTGGTTAAGGCACCAGGCTAGATGCTGGGAGACCATGAGTTCTAGTCTCACCTTAGCCATGGAAGCTAGTTAGGTGACTCTGTCTTTACCCAACTCATCTCACAGGATTGTTTTGAGAAGAATAGGAGGATAAAGGAGTATTACGTATGTTTGTCACCTTGAGTTATTTATCAAACTAATAAAGATGTGATTAAAAAATGGTATTGTCTAGCAACCGGAAGGTAAAATCTCCAAGCTCCAAAAGAAAATGATGATGATATTCAGGGTTTTGTTTAATTCCTGGTTGTCTTCAGAAGCTGAATCATGTAATATTGAAGAAAACTTTTTTTCTATGTTTCAATTCCACATCTCTTCAGGGGAAATACGTAGAATAAATGAATATAAATTATCCTATGTCACACCACAGGCTGATGAAGAAAGAGTATGGTTCACCATTTATTTTTATTTAAGTATGATTCCGTTGATGTGATTTAAAAAAAGATACCCTGGGATACACTCAAAATTTAATCAGTAGAAACAAATGTTTTATGGCTTAGTCTTGCTTGGAACTTTAAAAGGATATTCTTTCAGAATCTCTCCTGTCTAGGACACTACTCATTCTGCCAAAAGTAATGTTGGGAGAGTGTCAGCTTCTGCTTTCTGGATATAATCGATGCTTCCTTCCTGATTGTCCTGCTATTTTTTGCCCTTCTCTGATAGACAATAAAACAACAATGCTAAGGATATGAACATAGATCCTCGAGCACAAGGAGTCATGTAATCCCAAACAAAAGCAATAAATATGATAAAACAACCTACTGTCTCTACTTATTCATTTCTATAGGCTTAATTTTGATTTCAGTTGGGCAACCAAAGTAACTTGTCAAGAGGATTATTTAAAAAGGCCAACCATGAATGGAAAAACTCAATATAAAAATTTCTCAGTATTTCATGGTTTTTTAAAAAAATAAAACTGCATATTATTTCTTCTTATATGTGTAATGGTTTGAATGTGGTTCAGGAAGATATTCAAATTTCCATTTGACTGCTTCAGTCTGGACATTCTGGGGCAGTCTCTCATTGCAGCACAAACATCTTGCTGGATCAGGGATGTCAAACTCAATGCCCGCAGGCAGAATCCGGCCCACAGAGTGCTTAGATTGGGCCCACGGGGCCACCCTAGCAACAGCGAAGGACCGGCCCATGGTGGCTCTGCCAGTGAAAACAGAACTACGTTTTCCCTTGCAGAGGGTTGCAGGAGGCCGTCTCAGTAGGAAACTGAGCTCAGGAGCCTGTTTTCGCTGGGGGAGCGCTCGGGCCACCACAGGCGTCCCCAACACGAGTGACTTTGAGCAGGCCATGCCCATCCTGGCCACACCCACCCCGGCCTCCTGAGGTCAAAGGCAACCCTGATGCGGCCCTCAATGAAATCGAGTTTTACACCCCATCCTAGATTATTGTTTGGCGATAACATTATACAAGGCTCTTCATGTATCCTATCAATTGTCAGAGAAGAGGCAAGATATAAATGTAAAAAAAAAATGAATGTTTCTTTTTGTTATGTGCTGCTTTTACTGTTAGTTTAATGTCTGAACCCTCCTTGAGGTATTTTTTTTTAAATATAAAGTTTGAGGCTCATTTGGACACTTACCAACAGCATTTGCTCTTTCCAGTATTTCTGTACCATATTGGAGAGAAGCAACAGCAAGAAAACAGGATCTACCAATTCCACTTGCAAAATATGTGTTTGTGTTGTTGTGTTGTGCATCTCATTCTTAGCTGATGAATTTCTGAAATGTTCTCACTTGTAATGAGCACCCACTGTAGGAAATAGATAAACTCTCCCTCAAATCAAGCTAGACATCTGGTGATTGTTGATTTCTTGGCAACAATATAAAAAATTATTTTCCACTGCCATCTTATAAAATATTTAATTTTCCATTCTAGGCTACACACAGATTTCCTAATATTTTCCATCCAAATGTTTAACTTTTACAGGTCTGCCAAGATCAATTGCATCCCCTGTTTTATTTTCTAGTTTATTATGAAAAGCCATAGTTCTTTCTCAGAAAAGGAAGAACTGGGGCTTATGTAAATCTGCAAAGGAACTGCAAGCCCTAGTACTAAAAAGTCAAAGGCTATGGTAAAAACAACAACCCTAAAATCAAAAACAATTGGTACAACTACTCTTAGGATCGACAATAACAATATTGAAATGATGGGTAGTTTCTTCCGTTTAAAATCAACTATCAATAGTAAAGGAACCAAGCGGTCAAGAAATATGCCTCAGACTGGGGCTCGGTAGAGCAGCCATGATTGAAAAAAAAAAATTCAAATGCCATGACATGTCTGTCTCTACAGAGATCAGGATCATGCAAGCCATGGTATTCCTGTGACACACTATGAAAATGAAAGTTGGACCTTACAGTAGCAGGAGAGAAAGCATATTAATACTTTTGAAAACAAACCGATGAATCAGTGAATAAATCAAGCCAGAGTTCTTCCTTGACATGCAAATGAACAGAATAACAGAGTTGGAAAGGACCTTGGAGGTTGTCTAGTCCAACCTCTTGTTGGGCAGGAAATCCTATACCAGTGATGGCTAACCTTTTCTGGACCGAGTGCCCAAAGTGCGCCCGACCCCCTAAAATCCAATGTGCACGCTGCCCCCTGTCACTGCGTTATTTTATTTACCAGCTGAGCTCATTATTTCTGGACTGTCAGACTCTCCGTAGCTTTGCCAACTTCTTATCAGTAAGCTACGTGTTTCCGCATCCACCCACATTCC